GTCCCTGCAGCTTCACCTAGGCAGGTGCTTTGGACCGCTGAGCTTTCCCCCTCGCCCTTGTGGAAGATATTAAGTTGGTGGGTGAAAAGATGAAGATTTTTGAAAGTTCAAAGTGATGTTCACAATGAAAGGTTGAAGAAAAGAGTGGAGCCAAGAAAGGAAAGGAACAAACTGCAAGAGTTAACCACTTTTTCAATGTTTTCAGCAACCTAAAGATGCAATGATTGTCCATACTGTATGATAATAAGTGTTGCCTTAAGGCAGAGAAGCCTAATTCACACAACGGTCCACATGCCTCACAAACCTGGGCCCGAACTGTAACCCCAAACCCACTTACCGCAAAGTGCCACCACTACAATTAAACCCCAATATTGAGGCTTTAGCTCAGGAAAAAACCACTCATTAATATCTTTTCTCTTAAAAGAAAATCACATATCACATAAGCCCTATGTTCACCCCCACTGGTCTCTACCATAGCCTACATCTGTGTTCATCTTCCAAGAGACTTTAAGACTACTGACCTATGAATCAAGGAACCAAGGATCTGGTACAAACCCAGTGACTAGCTCCCAACTTCCTTGTTGAGAGGTGAAAAAGACTCTGACAGTTGGTGCTAGGATCTAACAATGCTTACAAAAGCTGAGCATCCCCAGCGGATTAAAGCACCAGCAAGCAGCCACAGGGGCCGGGGTTCAATCCCCAGGCCTGCTGTGCTGGCCCCGCCCCCGGGGCCACTGAGAGTATAAGTGAGGCTGGGTGTGGTGGCGCCAGCCTGTAATCCCAGCTCTTGGGAGGCTGTAAACAGGCGGATCACTATGAGTCTGATCTACTACTGAGACCCTGAACACTCTGGAGATCCTACCCTAAAATACAGGAAAAGAAAAAAAAAATGTGAGTGTCCCTTATGCAAACTTTTGGAACTAGAAATGTCATGAAAATTTGAGAGCTTTTCTGATGTTAGAATATTTGCATGGATTTTACCAGCTATGTATCCCAATCAAAATCTCCAAATTGGAAACAAATGTTTACTGCGTGCCCGACTAAGGAAGGCGCTACACTGAAGAGAAAGCGCATTAACGCAGGCTCTAACTTCCTCCACCCTAACTCATGCCTGACCACCAGAGGGCCTCATCACCTCACACTGACAGACAGCGCCGCAGTGTCGCTCTCAGATTGTTTTTCAAGTTTAAAGACTGCAGGGAAGGCATTAATTTACTGCACTCCCAGGTTAATTCAGACCTTCTGCTTCAGGCCACTTGAAACACTTTTAGTCCAAAGGTATTAAAGAGACTATTTCATCCACCAAGGATGACAAAAGTGAACTGATGCTTAGCACACCAGAAAAACATGATTTTGAACTTCCTCAGAAGCTACTGAGCTTCCTGAGAAAAGCATGCCTGAATGCTACTTTAACTTGAGGGAACACAGTTTTACAGCGAAGAAAGCCCTAATCAAAAGCTTTAGCACTATTTTCTCTCAGTCTGTACTTTTGCTGTGAGAAAATCCATTTATTCATTATCCAACTCCATTTTTTTCTTTCCTACTCAAAACAATGTATTAAAATGCAGGAGTGTGAGCCTGACAAGACAGGGCTGAGGCCGAATTCACAGCTCTCTTTCCTTCCAAACTGTGGGGGCACTCTACGCTTTTCCCGGACCATAGATAACCTACGAGTGCGTCCCTGTCACTGTCCTGCCATCTAGGCAGCCACAGCAAGCAGCCCTACCTAGCTCCCGACCCCTTTACAGCTCCGCCTTCCCTTCATCTGGGCCAGGCAGCAGGGGCGGCAGCCTTTACCAACCCACTCATACCTTCTCATACTGCTGCTGATAAAATTAAATCATTTAAGCTGTTCAGGATATTTACAGAATTCTTCTTTGAAGTTATTTAGTTATTTCTGTTCCAGAATATTTTTCTAACTATATCAGACACTCATATTGTGTGTCTGATTGAAAAACTGCAAACACTATTTGAAAATATGTTTATGTACCAAAATAGTCATGTGTATAGAATATTATAGTCATTAAAAGTAACCAGATTTTTTTCAAGTGAGACTGAAAGTTGCAGAGAGGCCAAAAAAGGCTCATTCTAAACTTGTTCAAAATAAAACCACCAAAGTAAAATTATATATACACTACAAAGCAGGTAGAAGAAAACCCTCCAAAATATTAACAGTGAAAAATGGTGAATTATCATTTATGCTTTTCAAGATTCTAATTTTTCTGCAATAGGCATATGCTTTTGTACACAAGATAAATGGTGTTTTCAAAACACAACTACAACCTACAAAAAGTGTTATCTCAACAACTCAGCGGTGCCCATACTTCACTTACAGGTAAAAGTGAACACCCTCAAGACTAACTCTTAAATAGGCTTACCTGTTTGCCCTTCACCAATTGCATTAATGGCTAAGTTTTTTTTTGTTTTTTAACACAAAAAAAAACAGTCATAGCTATATCTTATCAATACATTTATGTATAAATAGGAAGGCAGAGTAAAAAGAACTGGAGTACAACAAAAGATTATTGAACAAGTATAAAGTGATTAATAAGGTCAAGGAGATTGTTCAGCAGTATGAGCATCTGCCTGGCAAATGCAAGGTCCTGGGTGCAATCCCCAAAAAGAAAAAAAAATTATTAATAAAGTGTATGGCTTTATTATTAATAAAGCCTTACAAGATTATTATTAGAAGGCTTACAAGATTATGAACTATTTGTGGGTGTTATTAATCTTTATTTCTTTAGACCTTAGCACATTCGCGGGAAGAAACAGTAGATTACGATAGACAGTCTGGCAATTTCTTGCAAAGCTAAATAAAATCTTACCATATAATCCAGCTTTCGCCAAAATGAGTTGAACATTCACATCTCCACAAAAACTTGAACATGAATATGCATCCCAGCTATATTCATAATTGCCAAAAATTGAAGTAACTAGGGTATTCTTCAAAAGGTAAGTAAAACAACACCTTCATAGGCGGGAACAGCATTCAGCAACAAAAGAAAAATAACACTCAAGTCATCAAAAAGACATGAAGAACAGCAAATGCATATTGCATGGGGAAGCCTCACAGAATTGATGAATGATAACAGGAGGGAGGGAGATCTTTTTCAAATGAGAAGGGGAACACAAAAGGGGAAGTGGTACAGAAGGAAGAAAAAATGAGGGAGAGAGGATGGTTGGGAAACAATAAAAACAAAGCTTGTATAAACGGGGAAGGGAAGAAGGGTTAAAGGGAGGGGAGGAGAATGCAAAGAATGAAAAACTGAGATGTGTTCTGTAAAGATAAACTTTCCTATAATGAATATGATCAATGTATATGAGAATTATATGCTAAAATAGTGTTAAAACTGGGGAGGGAAAAAAATGAAATCAGGTGGGAGAAAGAAGGGGTATTTTTTTTTCCTAAATTTATTCTTATTTTTTTTTTAGAAGAGGAATTTTTTTTAAAAAGAAAGATATATTTTAGTGGGATGGGGGAGCTTGAAAGTGTTTTTGCTCCCAACGATTAAAAACGTAGGTACAGCTGGACATGGGGGCCCACGCCTGTCATCCCAGCACTGGGGAGGCTCAGGCAGGTCGATTTCTGCAAGTCTGAGGGCAGCCTGGGCTAGTGAGTTCAAGGCCAGCTTGACCTGCATAACAAGACCCTGTCTCAACAAACAAACAAAAATCAAAAACCCCTCTCGGTAATGCAAATTTTATGTCAGAAAGCCTTTCATTCACTCAGCATTTTGTCTCCCTGGATACAGGGCACAATGAGCAGGCAATCACTAGAGGAAAAACGGAGGCTTTAATTACGCGAAGTGTAAAAATCAGATTATAAATAAAACATTATAGGAAAACAACTTTATTCATTTCTCCATCCCTCCCCCCCCCCCACCCCCCATCTAAACTGCACCTGACCATTCTTTCCTGGCCTCCGGATCTTTCCCAGCTGCTCTACACTAGGTCTGTCAGAACGACCTCGAATGTATAGTCTTCGCGAGGGGCGCGTTCTGATCGTTGGCTCACAAATATGCTCACTATTCTCTAGCGTTAGCACTTTGGCCAGTTGCATACAAAAAAGCATCTCTGCACTCACTGACCCCCTCCCTTAAGGGAAGATAAAATATCGTACAATATTAATGCTTCTGAGATCAAAATTAAGAGAGAAATGAAAGCACAGAAACGAAGCACCTGCCCAAGATGACAGCGGGCTGACTCTCACGGGATGGTGCCCATTCCATCCTGCGGGAATCCCAGACCCAGCTCCTTCAGCAGGTCTTGCTGGGAGCAGAGGAAGGGTCCGAGCGGAAAAGCCAGTCCGTGGCAATGTCCCAGGCCGCCGGGGTGGTACAGGCAGCTGAGTTAGGTAGAATTATTATAGGCAGCCAGACACGGCCAGGCCCCCGGAGCCGGTACAGAAGGCCAGGTGCCTCGCAACTGCGACAGAGACGGTCGCTGCCGCCGTGGGCCACACCCCCGGACAAAAGGTCGGACAATCGCTCGCCTCTAAGGCCGAGAACCCAGGGCGGGTAGTCCAAATAGTCCTCCCCGGGAGGACGCCCGGACGCGTCGCTAACCCAGCCCCCAGGGAGAGTCGCCGCTTCCTACGCGACCCGCTTCCCATCTGGCCGCGGGTTTAATCAATTTTTCCCGAGCAACAGTACCTGTAGCCTCGTCGGCTGCCACTTCGTCCCGCCGCACGCCCACCTACGAGCTTCCAGGTCTCCCACCTTAGATCCGCCCCACCTCCTGGTTCTGCTCTATAAAAATCCCTCGAAACGGCCGCTTCCCGCGCAACCGCTCGGCCCCGCTTCCGCGCCTCGGCTGGACAGGGGCTTTCTCTCCGACAAACACATCTTGTTCTTAACCTCCACTGTTCCTAAAACGCATCCTTCGGCTTTGGAGGACGCGAACGCGGCCCGAGTGGCGCTCGGGTGGGAGTTTCTCTGCTCTCCATCAGGGACAGGGACGCCCGGGCCAGGCCGCCACGAGGGTCCGCAGGAGCCCACGAATCTTACCTTCACTCAGGTTCCTACCAGACAGGTTTAACTGGCCGCTTTTCCTCGCCGCTTTTAACAGCCCCTGGGGTACGGAAGTGCTGCCGTCTGCCCTTTCTGCTCTGAAACCTGCCCGCGGATCCCGCCCGGCAACACCCTGCAGGCGCGACATATTCAAACCACTAGCTTCCTAGAGAGAGCTACGCGCGTGACGCACAAAGCAGGCGCAGCCAGCCGCCCCACCCCTCTCGCGGTGCGCACGCGCTGTGTGCGCCGGGGCGGGAAGGGGGGGAAACCGGGAGCGGGGCCCTTCGCTGTCTGCGGCGCGCTTAGATGTCGTCACCGCCAGCTCCCGGGGCTGGAGGACAGAGCAGCCCTTTCCGTTGCCGGTGTCGGCCTACCACCCTGGAAATACTTCGCTGAAGTAAGTGCGTTTAACGGGTTTAAGAGGACCTTGAGGATTTGTTGTTGGCTTTGTTACTGCGACTTGGATCTTTCTCTGGTGCTTCCGCCGCTAAAGAGGGTATTGGGAGAGGCTAGCCCTCGCGTCTCCTTCCCCGTCTGAACGTGGGCCTCGGCGAAAACCTGAGCCCTGGGTGCGGAGGCCGCCGCGGAGCCCGGCCTGGCTCGGAGCCCGCGGGGCGGTCCGGGTCTCGCGGGCGATCGGGCTGCCGCCGGCTTCCCGGGCGTGGGGCCTGCGCCCTGGCTCGGTGCCGCCTGCCTGTTGTCGGGGCCGTGGGGTGCGAGGGCTGGCAGCCGAGGTGGGGGAGAGCTCCAGAGGTGGAAACGTGCCGTCTTCCCTCGAGTTCGGGGAGACAGCCGCGGGACGGCGGGGCGCTGCCCGAGGGAGGGAGGGAGGGAGGGAGGGTGGGAGGGTGGCACGAACTTGAAGGTGGCGCGTGCACTTTGGACCTCGCAGCCCCGGGGGGCAAGTTCGAATCGCTCCCGCTTACGACGACTCACTTTAGTCCGTTTACCCGATGGCTTTGGAAGCTGTTTTCTCATTTAGGGATAATCTCAACCGGTAAAGATTTTTTTAAATAATTGATAGAAAATAGAAGTTTAAATCTTGAGTTCTTGGTAATGGAAGTGTTTTCAGGTCAAAAAAAATAAAGGAAATAAAGATTTTGTTCAGTAAATCGGTGTTTCTTGGGACGCTGCAGTTTCCATCTGAAATGTACACTTGTTGATTATTGCACCAAGTAACTATAAAGAAGTCATCCTGCGTAGCACTGTCCTGAGTGCTAGGCTTTTCCTGAGCCTGAAGTGATGGTGGCTTCTACTCATAGATGCGTGGAAACAGGCAAAGCCCATCCAGGGTCCTGGAGATCTGTACTGTTGGTTGAAAGCTAGGTCGACTATCCTTTGAAAATTCTGCATCGCTGATCGTTATGCCAAATAAAGTTCACTTTTTAACACCTACACCTTCCATGTACGTGGTTACCCTACCTAGGGAGGAAAGGGTGGATTTTAAAATAAAAGGACCATTGCAGTTTTAGGAGGTCATTAATGAGCCCTCCAGTCAGCCTTGTTGACAGTAATAATAATAGCTTCCTTATTGAGCTCTTCCTAAGTGGCAACCTCTGTTTACTGTTTCTTATTAAATACAATGACCAGTGTTGCAGATGAAAAAAGTCAAAAGAAGTTACAAAGCTCGCCCAAGGCCACAAGTTTCTGTGAGTGGCAAGACCAGAGATCTGTCTACAAAGCCTCTTTTTCAGCTACCATGACTTGCTGGTAGCTTTTCATCATTTCCAAGTTTCTTAAATTCTAGAATCATCTGAAGGGACTCTTCAGTTGTTTTTAAAGACATTTCTTTAAGAACTACTGCTTTATAGAAAGCCACAGCCTATCTTTACGGAATGAGTTGCTCAAGCATAAAATTTTACAGTAACTACTACTGTCTGCACAATATATAATCTATACAACTATTTAAAAATAAGCTATACTGGGCTGGAGAGATGGCTTAGTGGTCTAAAGCACCTACTTGGAACAAGCTTAGCAAAGCACAGGGACCGCGGTTCAATCCCCCAGCACCACATGCCAGCCAGCCCGCCCCCTGGTGGGCTGAGCGGGCCACACACACACGCGAATAAATAAATAAAATTAAAAAAAAAATAAACTTTAAAAATAAGCTATACTTTTTGATTCATTGTGCTTGTACTGAAAATTGTTTAATTATTGATGTTTAATAATGTGTTGAAATAGTGCTAAAGTAATTCTGAAAAATCCAGAGTCAACTTCAATCTTCAATAGATAGAAAACTGGTAAGAATTTTACTAGCATAAGTCTACAGTAAACTGTGTACTATATTTATGTAGTAAGTGCAGACTGAGCAAGTAGAGGTGAAAATACCTCATGCTGTTGGAAAAAAATTTTATCTCAAATTGATGGAAACTGAAATTAATCCGCTTGAATTTCTTTGTCAGAGAGTAGTTGTAATTTTGTATAGTAACAGTAGTTGGAATGTGCTCTTTATACAGTCATAATACTTTAAGAAAATGCCTTAAACACAAAAGTTGTAATTCTTTTCAACAGCATATGGCCTTATTTTTAAAGTGGACTTTATATACATTATTAAAATAGTATGTCCAGGCTAGAGATGACTGTGCTCCTATCTTCTGTAATGGAATTACCTACCTCTACCTAATTATATTCATTGTATGTAAGTAATGGAACATTTCACTCTTAGCTTTTTTGCTCAATGAAAAAGAAAGTGAAAAAATCAAAAATATTAACCCTACAGAGCACATCATCCAAAGAATGCTTTTCTGTTTTAATAATAGAAAGTAAAATTATCCAGTTAAAATAGACCAGGATCTCTCTACCATTGAAATTTCAGAAGACATTTTCAGGTAGGGGGGTGTGTGTGTGTGTGTTATTCTTATGAACATTGCAATATGTTAGACATTTTTTTCCAGAGGTAAAAGGTATATTGGTAAATGGATTTATTGAAAAAAGTCTGAAATTGTACTAAGGGAAGAAAATGAACTAAATTTGTACACCTTTTCCAGGCGCCTTTGGTTAAAAAGTAGAGTCAAGGACAAAGTACATTTGCCTTGCCCACATTTCTGGGGATTTCTTTTAGGGTACAGTAACAGATTTAGCCTGGCTTCAATGACTATTATGTTTACTTTCAGAACATTGCCTTATGTGGGAGAGCTGCTATCTTAAAAATCGTTTATTGAGAGAATATATTCTCTTTAAAAATTTCAACTTGCAATTTTATGTTTGTTTTCCCTTTAGGTTTATAACTGCTGGCTTTAAGAAATAGTGGAAAACATTCTTCACTGTTTCTTTGAAGGCAGTACAAACTGCATTTTTTTAATTGTTGGTATCTATTTGCGAACATAATAATTACATTCATCTTGGGGAATTGGTATGTATACATATAACATCTTGATATTTAACATTCTGATTATTTTTACTGTCTCTTCCTCTGCAATTTTATTTATAGTTCTCAGTATGGCTTTGAATTGTATTTTGTTATTGTAGTTGTATATGGTAATTTTTTGACAGGAAGTGCATGTTTTTGAATTATGCATGTGTATATTCTTTGCTTCTGTTCATAATTTTGAGGATGAAGCAGTTAGCCTGCTTTAAGAGATTTAGTACTTGATTTTATTGTTCAGTCTTGTATACCTGTGTACTTTTAATATAAAAGAATTTTCATCTCTATGGAAAAATATTTTAATTTTCTTTTATGAAAGGAAATGTCAGTGTTCTGTTGAAGAAAGATGAAGAAACTAGAAGGGGAAGAGTGTATTCCAAATCCTGTTAGAATTCTTTCATTGTTGTTTATTTTCTTCCTACTGAAAAGAAACTGAACAAGGAGGTTTAAAGGCCAATCTTATTTATGTAATGTAAGTAAAAAGTATTGTGGTATTGCGATTTCATTATTGGTAATTCTAAAAATCACCTGAAAATGATTCCTGTTATTCCCAGTGATTATTATTCCTACAAATAGAGTAGCATTCTTGCCGTTTTTCTAAGATTAAAACGTTCTGTAATTTTAAGTATCAATTTTCATATTAATTGCATAGTTGGGGGCTTTAATTAGTAATGTAACACAGTAAAATTTGTGCATCACAACCTTATAGAACAGCCTGTCAATATCCTTTCTTTGTGACAACCTACAAAACCACTGTAGGGTAAGTGCGTTTAAAAAAATGGTTTGAGTAAATATTCACCATTTTGTGTGTGTGTGTGTGTGTGTGTGTGTGTGGTGCTAGGGCAGGCAAGCAAGCAAGCATTCTACCACTGAGCTATGTCTCCAGCCTCCAAATCTACTCATTTAAAATTGACTGTATTTTTCTCTGCAAACACTTTTATTTAATTGGATTCAGCTTCAAGTACTCAAAAAAGAAATAGTAAACTTAATATTTATATGGCAAGTATTGTACTAGAACACAGGCTCCTCATAAGTTCATTAAGATGTAAGATGGTCGTGAGACTTTATCCTTAATGCCAACGTAAGTGGATAAGGGAAAAATATAATAATGGTTCATTACCAGTTGGTAAGCAATAGGTTTTAAAATTTGATATTCAGATTTGTAGGTCGCATGTTTATCCCAAATTACAGTCTGATAAATGGTACTGGCAGGATACCTTAAGAACTGTGCACATTTTTTTCTCAACATACAGTTTTTCGCACCATCCTCTAAACTATCCCAGTTATATACACTGAGATAATTGAAAATTATTTCTCATGGGTGTGTTGAAATACTTGGTACCTGCTATGCAAATACACAAACCCTAGCATTGCTTAGCATCAAATTGTAGAAGTATGGATTTCTCATTTTCCACCAAGTTTACAGCTCTATTTTCTTCAAAATGTTTATCTTGTTGCCTTTTTTTTTTTTTTTTTTAATGTATTTGGTACAGGGTCTCACTACACAACTCGGACTCCTAGTGATCCTACTGTTTTCCACCTCCCCAGCACCAGGATTATAGGTTTGCACCACCTTGCCTGGTCTTGGTGGCTGGCTCACTGGGCCCAGGGGTAGGGCCTGCGCAACATGATCTTGTTCCCTTTTTTAAACTCCGTATTTCCTAGAAATGTTATCTCCCCACCATCTCTCCTGTCTCTCAAAATAATAGCTTCATGAATGTGCCAAGTGCTTAGACTACAGACTACTGTGCACATGGTGGTGGGAAGTAATATCCTTTTAAATTATCAGTACGCTTGAGCTATACGTAATGGTCACATTCATGCTAGGGAATTTGTGTCTACACATCTGTACATGATGTAACTTCTCTTTTTCCCCCGCTATTCTCCTACCTCCGCTTGAACGCCTCTTCTCCTCCCTGTTTACAAAAGCTTTGTTTCCACTTTTTTCCTTCTTTTCTCACTTGGAAATTCCTTTTTTCCCCCCATAAATCACATGCTTCCTTTTATTTTCTTTATGTCTGAATGAAATTCCATTGTGTATGTATGCCATTTTTTTTGAAAAAGTGGCTATTAAAGCAAAACTTACCTAAGTGGGAAACGGCCTACAATAGGAAGGGTGATTATCCTCTGTGTTTATGCCTTTTTCTAAAGAACTTCCATCTGAATACACAAAGATCTTTCTGAAACTTGAGACTTAAATGGCTGGAACTTGTCCATCATGATACTGGATATGGTTTTAATGCTTTGCATAAAGCTTTGCTCTGTAATATTTTTGACATACTGTTCTGGCAGTATCAAGAATCAGCTTACATTTTCTTATCCACGTGGCAGTGGTTCTTTACCTGTGAGCTGCTGGGCCCTGGAGACGGTGATATTGCAGGGGACGTGTGAATTCTTTTCCATGTTTCAAAAAGCCTATCAGAAATCACGTGCTTTCCCATACTGTAACTTTATTGGCCAAAATGAAGACTTTTTTCTTTTTCTTTTGGGACAGAAATAGCATCGGCTCATAGTATAGCTGATACTTACCATTCAAACATAACTAGAACCCTTCCCTAACCTGCCTCCAAAGATAAATTAACTGACCCTTTCCTGTACGTAATTCTTTCATTATGACAAGATATCTTAAAAGTCTCACTCTGGGCACTTGTGTTTGGTTTCGTCTAAATTGTGGACTAAACTTAATCAACAGGTGCAAAAAATAAATCCTCTTTTGCAACCCAGAACTCATTGTTTGGTGTGAGTTTTAATACCTATAAGAAGGAATATTACTGCTAGATAGAAAAGTCTCATTCTCCAATTCAGTTTGTCTAAGGAATTCTGCATCCAGCAGTTTATTTATATGCTACCCATATCTTGTTAACAAGTACCCATTTATTTAGAATGGTTGTATTTTTCCATTCCCTTGATCCTGACAACCAAACAGTCACAGAAACAACTGAAAGTAGAAAAAATAAGAGACTGAGTCCAAACTGCAGTTCTGTCCAAATTCAGGATTACTAAGCACCACTGTGCCCAGGCACCAGACAGAGGTTGAAGTGTACTAGGTGAACACGCAGTCCCTGCCTGGCACTAGCCTGTACTTTTAATCCCCATTTTTGCTGTTAGAAATCTGTAGTTGCCTTTCTGTGAGAGCAAGAAGACCCTCTCCCGTGGGGCAGCATGAAACAGAGGGTTCCAGAGTCACGGCTCCCTGCCTCACCCAGCACCCCATGTCCGGAGGGTGCTGTTCTCTGAGACAGAAATGGGAAAACACCCGCTCCACAGAGGACCTTCTTTTCTTAGAAGCTTCAGACTTGTTGTTCCTAGGGCCTTCTGCTTTGTAGTTTCCTTTGTCTGGAAAGTCCGTTCCCCAGATACTGAGCTTGCTTTCTCCTTTTACTCGGGTCTCAACAGTAACACTTTCCCACTTCCTGTCTTGTTTTTTTACTTTTATATTGAGATGGAATCTCACTATGCTGTCCTGGCTGGTATAGAACTGAGCCCAAGTGATTCTCCATGACAGCCTCCTGAGCAGCCGGTACTACAGGCAGTAGACTCCATGCTTGGCTCTCCTGCTCCTTCTTTGCTTTGCTTTGTTTTGAGACTGGGGTTCACTGGGTGTTCAGGCCGCGCTTGAGCTCACAGCTATCCTCCTGCCTCATCCGCCCCGGCACACCCCCCTACGCCTGGCTCCCTATCCTGTTTTATTTCATCACAACACAGTATTATATGTTTGTGTTTGCTTATCAAGTTTACCACATTGGACCTCAAGGTTCATGAGATCAAAGACAGTCTTCTCCCTGCAGTATTTCTAGGGACTAGGAAAATCCCTGGAACAGAAATTTATGACTTTCCAATGGTCTTTTACAATATTAGGAACGTAGTGAAAAAGACATACTTGATGTCTAGCTCCACACTGAACTTGTATTTTTAATTGAGAGGCTAAACAAATCTGCAGTGATTCAGACTTAGTGTAGACTGGATGCACTTGGTATCTATTTGACACATTTTGTCATTTGCCTTTAGCTGCATGTTACTGTTAGACACAGGCAATGATTAATGAAAAGCAGTTATTTGTTAGACCTTCAAGGATCTTCAAACTATTCAATTCCTCATTTAATTGACAAGAAAATTGAGGTAGATTCTCAGAACTGAAGTTAAATTTCTTTAATATATTGACAAGATTAATATTTAAGCTAAGTCTTCTCTTTAATTTTGTAGCTGCTAGATAACTTGAAAATAAAATATGCTTAAAAGTTTATATTTTGGGGCCGGGGAGATGGCTCAGTAGAATAAGTGATTGCCTAGCAAGCACAGGGGCCTGAGTTCAATCCCTGGCGCCACCAAAAAATTTAAAAAAAAAAAATTTTTTAAAGTTTATATTTGGAGAAAATTCTGTCTTGCCACTGTAATCCTGCATACCAGAGCACCATCATTTCTCTGTTCAGTAAGTTAACATAAATTGGCCCTTGATGGGCAAAGAATTTTTGTCACAGAATTCTTTTGTTTTTGAATTTGTAATTTTTATTATGAAATATCAAGCATACAGAGAAGTGTAGGGTAATGTAAAAGATTTTTGTATCCGCAGAAATAAAGATGATAAACAACATTTTAAAAAAATAAGACAGGCACAGACCCTGTCCTTGTGTGCCTTGTCCTTTTCTCACAATACTGTGGTGTGCATGACACATGTGTGCTCTTGACACTGAAGTATTGGAGTGGTGAGGATCTCTAACATAAACAGTCATATGAGCCTGATTCATGTGAGAAAGTAAACCACCTACTATACTTTATATTTAAAATACATTTATGACACACAATGAGTTGTCATTTCTAGTCTTGCTGAGGTTCTTGTCACCCAACCTGTTTTGTGTAAAAACTTAAGGTGTTATTAAAGTAGTGAGTACACTAGGGCATCAGTGGGCTCCACATGTGAGCCTCAGTATCCTGAGCCCAAGTCCTCTCAGGTGGCACTTGCGACTGCAGTGTGCCAAGACACCAGTGATGGGTATTCGGAAAGTCACGGTCTCCACAAACACTTCTTTAGCAGACTGTTACAGTAAATGAGGTCATTTTAAGGGATACTGTGCACGTGTTTAGCATTTTGGCAACAGACTTATGCTGAATTCTACAGCTCTGGGAGGCACCTAATAATAATAAACTATAAATTCATCCTTACTAAACAAAAAAGGAAATGCAGGATGAAAGGCAATGGGTTTTTTGTGCGTGTGATCAGGAGTGAAGCAGATTTTTCTCTGGAAAATGCTTGTAAACTTGAAAGTATTTAAAATACTGTGAAATATGCTTTTTAAAATCAAACTACTCCTGGGCATGGTGGCACACGCCTGTAATCCCAGCACTCCGGAAGATGAGGCGCGGGGGTGGAGAACGTTGGGAGTTCGGGACCAGCCTAGGTTACAAAGTGAGCTCAAGACCAGCCTGAACTGAATAGCGAGACCCTGTCTCAAAAAAAAAAAAAAAAAAAAAAAAAAGAACAGAACTATTGTGAAATAAAATCTTAAAGCACAGAAAAAAATTTCAAGGATTTATGCAAAGCAAACGTTACAATTCAGTGTTAAGGATTTAATCCTTTTTACTTAAGGATTGCAGGAAATTTTATAGTGGTGTGGAGGAAAATGTTAGCCAGAGTGGAAATATTAGCAGATCTGTAAATGACTCCCAATGTGGAAAATCGTAAATACTGTTTGATAACACTGGTTATTAAAGCGTGCGGCGTTTGGGGGGGGAGGGGCCATGAAGTAAATGCTGACTTAAAAAAAAATACCTTCCACTGCCACCTCGGGAAACTAGGGCCCCAAAGCGATGACGTCGTCCTGCCGCCGCGGGCTGCGCGCCTCCCGGGACCGGGGCTGCTGCGCCTGCGCGGGGCGGGGCCGTCAGGGCGCGCGGCCTTCTGGGCCGCCGCGCGGCATTGTGGTTCAGGCGGCGCGGGCCGGGCCGGGGCGGGGTGCGGTGCGGCGCCGTTTGTGTTCTGGGCTCTCGGCCCGCGCGCTCCTCCCCGTCCGCGGCGTGCGGCGGCTGTAGCATCGGACCCCCGGCCCTCCTCTCCCTCCCCTTCTCACTGTTTGTTGTGTGTTTGATGTGTTAAAGCAGGAGCGAGCCCGCGAGCAGCCATGAGCAGCGCGACCGTCGTCCCCGGCCCCGCGGGCCCGGGCCCCAGTGGCGGGCCGGGCGGCGGTGGCGGCGGCGGCGGCGGCACCGAGGTGATCCAGGTGACCAACGTCTCCCCGAGCGCCAGCTCCGAGCAGATGCGGACGCTCTTCGGCTTCCTCGGCAAGATCGACGAGCTGCGCCTCTTCCCGCCGGAGTGAGTGTCGCCGGCCTCCAAGGGCAGGGTCGGGCCTGGGAGCCCGGCCTCTTCGCGTTTCTCTCCACCCCTCCCCCAACTCTGCTCGCGTAGGGTCATGTTTTGGAGCTGCACATTCGGTACTGCACGTATTACAGGATAAATCCATTCTTTAGAAAAAGGGGGGGTGGGGGGCCTGTTTTGCTCTCCCTTCCCGCGTTCTTTGGAAGAAAGGTAACAGTGAAGTGTTTTCTAGTTTTAGTTGGTGTTAAAACTGGTAGGCCGCAGCTCTAAGTATTGTTCAGCGATTCTGGCCTTGATTCAAATGCGATACCTTTTTAAACAGATGTACATGTTAAAATGAGCGTAGGATTTCGCAGTCGTCTGATAGATTAATGTTGAAATCTTGGTTTTATTTTCTTGTCCCGTTCTCGTTCTGGAAATTATTTTAAAAGTTTTAAATTACTTGGTCTAACTGCCTGCCTAGGCAAGCACCAGGTTGATCCTGGGACCACATGCTGTGCTGGCCCGCCTCAGGCACCAAGGTGGCCTGCACCAGGCATGGTGGTGCATGCCTGTAATCCCAGCGCTGGGGAGGCAGAAAACAGGAGGATCACTGGGAATCCAGGCTGCGTAGTGAGGCCTTGTACCAAATACATAAAATTATGTTAAAAAAAAAATTAGTTGGTCAAAGTTAGTTTTAGTCAGGTATTCGCAGAGTATCCACGTATTTCATGACTTTTTACCTAAAATATCTTTACATGACTATTGATGTTTTTAAATTGATATGTTTGAGGGTCCCGGGGAGATGGCTCAGTAGAGTAAGTCCTTGCCTGGCAAGTGCAAGGGCCTGAGTTCAATCCCTAGTTCTGCCAAAAGTTAAATAGACATTTTATTTTTTAGGGAAAATTCATTTGTACAGTTAGGATTCAGTTATCAGTCCGTATGAGGTGTAACGTGCTGGGAACATTTACATGTATTTTGTACAGAAGCTTTTAACTTGCTTGGACATAGAGGAATGCGCGCTTGGCTGTTACTGCTCATGGCACCTGAAGTGTGTAAAATGGCAGAAAGTAAGTGATAACATTTGATGGCTGTGAATCATTTTATTACTAGGGTATTTGAGATACTGTATTTGTTGGAATATAATTTTTATAGTCCCACAAGTTACTAAGAATTTCATTATAGCTGCTAACTTTAAAATGCTTTATTTTCTGGAGATAATCTTTTGATGCACTTAGAAAAAACAAGCGCTGGCATTTCCCTGATTCCATTTTTTTCCCTAAAAAGCCAGGGCACTTGTCCTGGTAGGCAGGAGCCTGGCTGTTTGCCCTGTAGTCAAGTGAGTAGTTTCCTCCTACTCAGATCAGCTCCTGGGAAGCTGTCTCTGGGGGTTGCAGGGATGATGCTCAGCATTCAGAGGGATCTTTGCCCTACATTAAAAGCCACTGTATTGACACATACTTGCCTTTGCCTCCCTCCTTTCCGGTTGCCACCTAGAATCATTTTCTTTCAAACAAGTACAAAGATACAATGTAGTGAGTGTCATATTGTTATCTTTTGTGGACTTCTAGATTTGAACAGCACTGTAGCTGGCTACTCTTACTTTCTGAGTTATTTTTCATTGGTTTGTTTGCCAGTAAACTTGAGATTCTCCCCAATGTTTGCAGGTGTCATATGCTGTGGACTCACAAAGGTCCAAAAGCTCTTGTTATTCCAAAAAAGGTTTTTTTATTTTGCTGATAGAATGAGGTTAAAGGGCTTCATTATGAGCCCATTTTGGCCTAATTTTCTTGTGACTGTGTATGTTAGTTCCTCAAGGAGGCATTCATAATAGCTTGGACTTTTTTCTGCTCATCATGCTTGGGTTAGCACCTGTGGGGTGCTAGTTTCTCAGGTGTTACCTTAATCAGAGAAGCCTTCCCTGACCACCATTTGTAAAAGTGCAGCAGCCTGCTGCTGCTTTGCCCTGTGTGACACAGCGTGGTCTTCTTGTATGATGCCTGACACAAATTGACAGTTTCTGTTCAATCCTGTCCCTTTTGTGGAATATGAGGCTCAGGCTGGTCAACATCATCCAAAGGACATTTGTAACGTGAATATTAAGGTGCGTTTTTGAAGTACCTTGCATGCACCTACCAAGGTCTTCAGTTCTTAATGCCTACTTTCTGGTAAATTTTTCTGGGATTATACCAGACGTTTCAGTGGCAGAATGTGCAAGGTCTCCCTCCTGTACTGTTTATTATTGAAATCATCTTTTAACTTTTTTATACTGACATAATTTTCTGTAAAGATTGTCTTCACAATGGAATATGATAGCCCTAAAACTAATTGAAAGCCTATCATTGTCCCCTACATTTACTTTTTTTTTAAAGAAAAGCTATCATGTTGATTTCTGTTCCTAAAACATAGTACTGTAAATTCAGCATGGTTTGAGTGTCTCTTAAGATACATGCTTTGCAAATTTCTCTTAGTCTTTACAAATTCACAAGACATATTTGACTCTGTTTTATGAATGAATATAACAAAATGTACATAGGTTTTTGTGAGGCCCAACCATACTACCAACGTCAGAATTTGAATACCAACATGGACAGTGTGTGACTGTCTTTCCCTTTTGACCAGGAGATTATTGATTTTGCCAAAAATTGAAAGAGTTGTGTTATTCTTTAAATAATCAAATGTTTTGTTTTAGTGGAATATCACAGGAGATTGTAAGTGAAATGTTTATTAAATAATCCCAGTGAAACATGACAGGTGTGTAGAAGGTGAAAGATGCTAATGCTGAATTTAAGGTCATTAGTAGTTTTTCTGTGACCAAACGTGAGTACTTTAATGATCTTATAATAGTAACTAACTATAGTTGGATGAGGCAAAGAATTTAACTCACCTTTCAAAAAAAACTTGTTTCAGTAAAATCTTCACTATTTTCCTTTGTATAGCAAAGGGGAAGGCATGTGAAGTCAGCACAGTTGGACTTGCAGGCGGGTGTTGCCCTTGTCACACACGTCACCTTCTGGTGCTTGGAGGTGCTTTGTGTAAAAGCCCTCAGATCTCCAGTTGTCAGTGGTCAGTACAGTGTTACAGTGGGAGTGGAAAGGCTGCTGTCAAAGGCCTGACCCCGAGGTTCTCACACTTGGTTAGCTGGCGTGTTCACCCAAGATCTTACTAAGAATCAGGGCCCTCCCAGAAAGTAGTTCTTGAGTATAGTGGGCTTTAAATGAACACCAGCATTGGGAAATCTCTTTGTACATCCTAGGAGATTCTAACGCTTCTCTCCAGGGACACTAAGCATCATTTGCAAACAGGACCAAGGGCCACTACTCATTGAGGGGACAGAAGCATACAGGGCCCCTCAGCTTCTCCAGAATCATCCATGTTCTTAACAATAGAGAGTAAGATACTTCTATTTTGAGAAGGATAGCTGCGTAAAATTAATTTTAAGCATCAGAATGTAATTGTGGAACCAAATTACATCACAACCTTTCAACTTAGTTAAAGGTGATCACTTCAAAGTGGAGAAAGTAATTTAACAACTTAGGGTGTTTTTTACACTATTCAGATGATTACTTGCGATTGAGATCAACCACTATTGCAGGCTTTGATTCCCATCGCATTAATGAGTAGAAAAAATTACGAATCATTTTAAGATTGTCAGGTAAATGATAATGAATTGTGAACACAGGGTAGGACTTTCTGCTAATTTCATCATATGTTGAAGAATTTTGTATTTTGTAGTCTTTTTTCTCTAAGTAGTAGTGTCCAAGAACTGGTAGGCACCACTTCAGGAATGTAAGTGCCTTGTGTGTTAGGGCATCACCAACGCATGTGTTGGGGTCAAGAACATGTGATGGGGGCACTAAGAGAATTTTTAAAACTAGGATTAAAAGCATAGGTGTCAGAAAAGAAATACAGCCTACTGTGCTGGTGCACACCTGCAGTCCTTGCGCTCAGGAGGCTAAAGCAGAAGGATCCCTGCGAGTTCTAAGCCAGCCTGGGCTCCATAGCGATGAGACCCTATCTTAAAAATAAAGAAACAGAAATGCCGTGACTTCAGTAGTGGAAGTGTCACAGCATTCTTTTCACTACTCTGGTGTAATGTTTAATTTTAGATCAGTAGTGCCTCCGGTGAAATAAACATTTAGCAGTATACCTCTCCCATGAGATGACTTCCGTTTTCTGTGGACAACTTCGTCAGTCCTCAATCTGAATCTGTGTTACTATGAGAGATCCTGCTAGTTGCAATGAGTTTGAGTTTTCAGGCCATATTTAGCCTTATATTAATTTTCAAGTAATGCTAAAAATTCTTTTCTTGTTTGTGTCCAGATGAAGAAAAACTTTCTTTTCAGTGGATATGTGCGTATCTGAATAACTGTTGCAACTGAATCTGATATTACTACTTTTTTATATACACATGAATATGTCTTATTTATTGCAAGCCTTAGGAGGCTGTAACAACATCGAACTGTATTATAGCATTTCCACTTTTATTACTCAATCTGAAGATATAGTGAACATAATTATTACAGTAAAACGTGTTCCCCAACCTGGAAACATGATAAAATTGTCAGAGGACATTTGTGGAAATGCAAGCTCAGTGCTTTATTACCAGAGATGGATGGTGATTGATGTGGAGTGGACGGCCTGGATATACACAACGCCCACACACGAATTTGTTGTAACCTGGTATGCTGTGGTTACTGTGACCTTTGGGTATTGCTTTTCAGATAACTTTTGGTATGTCAGGGAGCCAAGCCTGCATTTAATCTTTCTCTTTCACAGAGAGGCTTTTATAATACAAATAGGAATCAGCATGTATTATTTCTTAAAGCCTACTCTTCATATTCTCTGTTAGTACTGTAGCTTGCATTTCACTTGTTGATCTTTTTTCTGAAGAAGCAATTGCTGAGGGAAATGGTTCTTTCACATATTGAAATTGTTCAGGTCGGGAGATGCTCATGTTTTGCTTATGCTTATGGTTTTCTGTTTTCTCAAAGTGGTCCAAGCCAGATTAAGACTCTTGCTAGTAGCCAGGAGCTCTTGTGCGCTCAGTGTGACAAAGGCTTCTCAGGAGGGCAGCAAGTTTGAAACCCACTCAGAGTGCATAGATTTAAGTTTGAGGCCAGTTTGGAGCACATAATGAAACTCATCTTTTAAAAAACAATTAGCAAATTGTTACAGTCTTCACAATGTTTTTTACCCTGGCAACTTAGCTATAATGAAAAATTTCTAGGACAAAACTGCCTGTTTGTGAGTATCAGTGTCGGGCTGGCAGGTAGGGGGCAGTGGTCAAGCGCTTGTCACCTAAGCTCCATCTCCAGCTCCACAAATACGCATGGGCACGTGTTGCTATTCTCATGGTCTCAATTCTGAGACTTTAAAAGCACTTTTTTTAAAAATTTATTTATTTATTTATTTGTGTGTGTATGTGTGTGTGGCCAGCTCAGCCCACCAGGAGGCAGGGCTGGCTGGCATGTGGTGCTGGGGGATTGAACCGCGGTCCCTCTGCTTTGTTAAGCTTGTTCTAAGTAGGTGCTTTAGACCACTGAGCCATCTCACCAGCCCTAAAAGCACTTTTTAACCTGATAAATTTTAAGCTTAAATAGGGATTTTAGGTTTTATTTACTCCACAGTTTGTTCCATCGCTTTGGTGGGCAGTCAATATTTTCTTTCAAGCTAGTTAAATTAATTTGTATGGAGTTATGTATGCAAGTGCTGGTTTGCAAGTTGCACATTTGTGTTTTTGATAATAATTCTTTCTCTCCTTTTGTGTTTCTCTCAGTGACTCGCCTTTACCAGTCTCGTCTCGTGTCTGCTTTGTTAAGTTCCATGATCCGGACTCGGCAGTTGTGGCGCAGCATCTGACAAACACTGTATTCGTTGACAGAGCTTTGATAGTCGTACCGTATGCTGAAGGTTTGTGCTTTGTTTAACTACCCGTGTGGGCATCCTCAGATGACCGGCTTCCTCAGTGTAGTTGCAGAGTGAGCATTAATTAGCAGAGTGTTAAAATCTTAAGTGGTTGACATTTGGAAACCCTTGTTATACTGCAGTATATGCTATTTACTTGTAGATTCTTTAATTTGAATCATTAGCAATCAGGTCTGTTTTTAAGATATTTAACCCTTTCCTTTCGTTAGCCCATTTTTACATTCATGAAAACCATATCCCTACTTGTAACTCTTAGATATATCTACTTAGTTTTGTGGAAAAGTCCCAAAGGTAAAATGATTGGCCTCATGTGCACTTAATAACGACTTTCAAATGCATGATGTTATTTAAATAATTGACTAGGTTGTATCTCTATAATGCTTCCTCACAATGAGAACTTGAAAAAAATCCCACATTGAATTCCAGTATACCAAGGGTTACAGTGATTTTACATTTTGTGAAAATGCAAGATTTCCTATAGCTTAGGTGCCAGATGGGCACTGGGTGTTTTGTTTTTATGCCAGATTTTCTTGTTCATTCTTGTTATATTTTCTAGAATATCTCTAAATAATAAATTCTTCTCTCTGTTATTTGTGTGTGTGATTTTTATAGTGGAGAAGGCAAATGCAAAACTTCCAGATGACTGAAACACAGTGGGTCCTCTGCAGCTACAGGGGATTCTAGACATTAACTAAAGGCCAGCAAGCACTCCAGTGCCCAAGTGTTCCCTGGTGTGACCATTTGTTAACTGCATTTTCTCTCTTTTTACATTTTAGGCTGTTAAAGTAATTTGACAGAAAAAAATTGAGCAGGTTTTTTGGATCTAAAAAAGCCACTGTGACAAGACAACACTATTTAATAACTTTTGTAAAATTTTCTGAGTCATATTTTATAATTTGATTGATTGTTCCCAGTATATTGCTACTTGATTTGCTTTTTGGTAACTATAAATTTTGATTGAAGAAATTCATTTAACATGATAAAATTCCTGGATTTTAAGTTAAAGTTTTATTAAATACACCACTGACCAGGATTTACATGCTTTACCTTTCTTTTATTAATCTGGTTAGTGGAATGAAAACTTTGTTATTGTATATTTTAGTTGCTATCTTAAATCTTTGAATACAAATGTGAACATTTGTAAAGTTGTGAAATGTCTGAAGTTGGAGAAATTGCCTTTGGGTTTCTAAAGAAATTAAGTTCTGTTCAGAGCTGGGTTAAGGCATGCTATTGTAATAGTACTTCTGTCTCCGTTATATTAAAGTACCTGAGCACAGTTTTAAGGTTCTTGAAATAGACAGATTTCAGTTACTTTTTGGCTAAAAATTTTCTTTTATGTCAGTGTGTTTGTTGTAGGGTAAGACTTAACCACCAACAAAAAATTTCTAGGATTCAAATTTAGGATGAGTAAAATATAAACGATAGGCCTGGAAACATGGGTCAGATCACGTGAGTAATGTTCAAGCATTGTGGTTAGCTGTTAAATTTAAGGAGTTTTTATTGGCTAAGTAGTATACCTTCCAAGCCTGGAACATAATACAGTATATCATGTAACTGGCCTTCATGGGTAGTTTTAGACTGTAATAATTTTGTAAGATGTTTTTCAAAGTGCAGTTTTGGGGAATATATATGGAATTTTAGAAATGTTCAGTGGAGAACGCCATTTTTGCTGTGTTTGATTCAAGGTATGATATGCTGTATTAACGTTCCCTCCTTTAAGTAACTGAATGTTCAGTCCCTTTGTCACATGCACTCTGATTTTAACCTTTACACTTTGGGGATGGCTCTTAGCCAGTGTTTTAGAGCACTAGACCCAAAATTGACGGTAAGAAACAATCTAAATTGGTAAAACTGAGATAGCAAGATTTGGAAGGAACTCTTAGTAGTAATGGATTTGGGGGTTATTTTAGGTTCCTTGGTTAATGTTTGTTTCTTTTGTCTGTTTCTTTTTCTTTCATTTCTACACATTCATGCAGTATTTCATGGTTCTATCAAAGCAGCAGTAAAAAAAATACTCTTGACGCATGAAAATTAACTGGTGAGGGGCCTCATTGCTATTTTTTAAATTGTAGTTTTATTTTTAAATAGTCTTTTTAATCGGAGGATCAGATGCATGATTTTTTTTTTAAATGGATGCAGATCTTCTATCAGGTGTCTCAATAAATTCAAGAGGATTTAGTTTGCCAGAAATGTTGCAAAGTGCACTAATTTAAGTAAGATGTTGATGCTTAATATATCCTCTTGAGACATAATTTTGCATGCAAAATTACCCCCTTAATCTCTGTAGGTTTGTTAATATTGATGCATTAATGCCCTATATATAAATGATCTCCCCTCCCTTCCATAACTCTCGGTATCTAAATTGATGACAGCTCTGGCACAGGCAAGATAACAGTGCTGTGTAGTATACATTTGTTTATATTATCGGCACTTCTCAGTGTAGGAGGAAGGAACCATTACCTTTATTTAACAGTGGTTTTTCTTTTTTGTTGTTGTGTTTTACAGTTCTTTTCCCTGGTTCAGCCTGAACTATATACCAGGCCCTGCTGAAAATACCACCCAACAGTTTTCTTCTGCAGCTTATCCAGTTTCTCTTAAGTGCCCTGTACATATTGTATGTTTTATGATGAGATGCAGTTTCTTAATATGTATTACAGAAATACTACTGGTATTTGCAAATATGTAGTTTAATTGTATTATTGAACTCTCATTTTGGGGGCTTGGGCACATTAACAGATTAATCCATCTGTATAGGGCTTTTGCTGTTGGATAGAATTGAAATTGTCTACATAAATATTTGTGCTAGGACCCTTAGATATTTTCTGAATACACAAATTAGGCCTTAAGAATAGACATACATGTCGCTTTGGGCTTAAGGAGTTCAGTTAGTCTTAAACTGACACTGCATAGCTTTTTGGTACAAGTGGCATGGCACATGTTGGAACACAAAAGCGTTTAACTGCAGGTAAGGAGTGTGCCATGTTGTCTTGCCTATTTTCGCTCTCGCTCCCTCACCCCGCACACACCCTGTGTGTATTCAGAGACCTTCAAAAGCATTCATGTGCATTTTCATGAGTCAGCAAAAGCCCTACGCTTGATTCCAACAGAGTATTTCCTTACATACTTTTCTTTTAAATTTTACAAAATTTGTATGGTAGGTGTAAAATCATAGTAACTGTACCATATTATTAACCCCTAAATCAAACTTTTTTTGTCTTGTGTATCTTGATTTTTCTGTGTGCTTTATAGTGAAGCAGCCGACACGAGTCGTTGTTCATAAAACAGCTTTTGAAAGTTGAGAGCACACCCCTGGAGAACCGACTGTGCTTGCTTACGTTTGGTTCATGACTTAAAAATCGAGTACAGGTGATGAAATCTTGGCAGTGTTAACAAAAAAGTAGTGTGTATTGTGCTATTTTTTTTTTACTCTAGAAACTTAACCATTTGTAGAGAAAAGAGGAAACATTTTCACACATTGAAGTTTCATTCTGACATAAAATTAATGATAAATAATCATAGAGATCAAGCTTTATATTTTAGCGAGCATAAGTACTTTCAACAAACTCAGGTGGTGTATCAGGTAGACATTTTCTGGGTGTTTTTGTGTGTTTTCTGTCTTACCAAAAGTGTGCTCTCATGCAAGCTTGTTTCTCTGCAGGAGTCATTCCTGATGAGACGAAGGCTTTGTCTCTGCTGGCGCCAGCTAACGCAGTGGCAGGTCTTCTGCCTGGTGGCGGACTCCTCCCCACGCCCAACCCACTTACCCAGGTACCTGCTCTGTTGAATTCTGAAAGAACCCGTGACTTTTGGTTGAGCCTAAACACACCCAGCCTTCTCAAGTGTTTTTTTTTTTTTTTTGATTCTAGTTCCTACAGCAACGTGCTACGTGCTGTATAATCACAAATAGTGTGTGTTATAATTATCAACAGTCCAGAGACCCTTTTAAGAAGTTGGCATTTAAAAAATGTTCTAAGTATCATAAAATACCTATTAAATTGTGTTGCATTGGCTCTTCGAAATAATCCAGTTGAAATTGCGGATTTGTGTAAAAAGTAGATTTGGGCCAGAAAATAAAATAAAACTGAACTTAAGTTCCCTAAAGGAAGCCTTCTGCCCCACCCTCTGCTTTCTCAGAGCGCTTTGTTCTTCTGCTGTTGTCTTGGGTTGAATTAAACTGATGGTTTGAAAATAAAGATGGATTGTACATGATAATGTTTGATATGGGGAACATAGGGTAAAGCCAGTTAAAATGTTTTTAGTAGTGCTCTAAAAGGTCATATTTTATTATAAACCTGTCAACTGATTTTGTTCGTTGCAGTGCCTGGGTGTCAAAGTAAGGCCCACACATGCTGGGCAAGTGCTGTGCCCCCAGTCTGGAAGGCACTGTGAAATAGCATGCATGCTGCCTGCTCAGGCTGCGTAACCAGCCAGTGGTTTCAGCGATAACATGGTCTGCAAGCACCCTTCGCATCCTCATGCCCGTGTGAAGTGCTGGTGCGCCTTGGAAAGATCTGGAGCTCCCAAGCCCTTTGGGCCTAACTTACCAGTTTAGTCCTAGCTCCTCACCTCTGGCACAAGGACCTGAGAGATCCCTAGATCTTTTTGCAGTATAAAATTACGTATTTTACCAGACAATGATACAAACGTATTGTACTTGTACTCATATACAGTTAAATTACCAAAAATATAGTGCTTTGTATTACTGCATAGCAAGTAAAACTGGATGAACTTACAGCATACTTCTTTGGGAGAAAGTCAGACTCTGTAAAGTTACCAGGCTTTACATTTCTTCGTTTAGGATAAATCAGAGTTCTCAGGTAGGACCAGAGCTCCATTCTGTGTCAGTACAGAAGAGGTAATGAGAGGAATTGTTCGCCCTAATTGGATACTAGGGGAATTATATGTGCCAGATGTCGTGGAGGTGGAAGGGGCACGTTTAGACCAGGGGACTCAGTGCTCTCGCTTCCTCCTCTGCTGAGACTTGGGTCTCCCTGGAAGACCCAAGCTGGGGTGTCTCTTGGATGCCTACACGTTCGCTGGGAAGCTCCTCTCAGAGATGGCACTGCAACCCTGAGGGCCAACGAGGGTACCCACGTAGGGCTGTGGGAAGGAGAACATGGAGCCCCAGCCTTGGGCAGTGTCCTCTAGGGCCTCTCCTGCAGAGGACCTCATGCCCTGGCAGTGGTTGTAAGAGGAATGTTTTAAGGACCCTGTATCTAGTAGCACAAAGAAAATGCATGTAACCGGCCCACACAAGAACATAGGAAAGATTGTTTCCTACATTTTGGTTTTATTTCATTCTCTAATAAATGAGAAATTGAACCATCACTTAAAACAGAGCTTGACAGAACAATACCCACTTTTTGTTTAACTCCAGCCATGCCCACTCGTTTATTATCTGTGGCTGAACCTCAGCTAGAGTGGTGGACATTTGAGTACAGTTGAGTGGTGGCAGCAGAGACAACAGAGCAAAACTGGGACTGACCGACCCTGGTCAGAGGAACAAAAGCAAAGTCTGAAATAAAGAAACCTTTCTTAACAGATTGGCGCTGTTCCGCTGGCTGCTTTGGGCGCTCCCACCCTGGACCCTGCCCTCGCTGCCCTGGGGCTTCCTGGAGCAAACTTGAACTCTCAGGTACCCAAACTGCCCTGTAGCTGTTAGGCAGTTCTAGAGGAAGCTTGCTGTTTGCTTGTGTGTCAGGAGAACAGACAGTCGCTGGGTCTTGGGGATGCTTTGTAGTCATGTCAGCTTGTTAGGGTCTGCAGGTCGCCGAATGGTCAGCCTCTAAGAACTCTAGGCAGTGATGTTCCTAGGGACCTCGGTGCACCGTCAGCACGTTGTGGCGACAGGGCCATCGCGAGAGAAAGGGGTGTGCATGTCACTCTCCTGGAGTTCGTGGGTTTCCTTTTACTATTGTTATGATTAACTTAAGCTTTTCCAAAGCTCTTACCCATCTTTGGCAATGCTGTAGATAGAGGCTTCATCTCCACCCTTTTTACTTTTAAATTTTTTTTTTTTTTTATTTTGAGACCAAGGTCTCACTAAGTCACCCTGGCTCATTTGGAACCTGGGCTCTTCCTGCCTCAGCCTCCTAGAGTGCTGGGGTTATAGGTGTGTGCCACCATGTCCAGCTTCTGAAGTCTTGCTTTCTGGAGATCTTCTGATACACTGTCTTAAGGAATTTAAGTTTTGTTTTAATGAAAGGTATAATTCTGTAATGTAGACTGTTGAGCCTTGGTTTTCAGGTAATTTGCTAAATCTGCCCTTTCATATAGTAGCCAGTAATGCCACTTGTTACTTTTTTTTTTTTTTTTTTGTAAGTGTGGCTACTGAAAAATGTAATTACAGCTTCACTGTGTCTTTTGGGGGAGTACCAGGAATCGAACTCGGGATTTTACACTTGCCAGGCAAGTGCTTGTGCCACTGTACTGCATCCACAGCCCCCTTACATTATGCCTTTACTGCTTAGCATTATGCGTAGAGCCTGTGAACTTCTATAGGGCTGGCAGATTGTGGTAGGACCTTTCAACATGCTGAAGGGATAAAATAGCAGTGATTTGTTGTTCTTTGTGTTCTCATCACTGTCCTGTTTTGGTGTCTTCTAGTCTCTTGCCGCAGATCAGTTGCTGAAGCTTATGAGCACCGTTGATCCCAAGTAAGCGTTTTATCTTTGGTGGTATTGTGGGTGGAGTTCTAGACAGCATTTATCTTTTTTTTTTTTTTTTTTAACTGTCTTGGTTTTTAGGTCAGGCTGGCCTTGAACTCACTGTATAGCCCAAGCTAGCATTGAACTCCTGATCCTCCTGCCTCAGCCTCCTTAATTGCTGGGATTACAGGCACATACTGCCACTCCTGGTGATGCTTGTTCTCAAGGCTTCTCTTCTATACCGTTTTCTAGAAACAAGGAGAGAAATTCCAAAATGAGCATCTTGTGTTGGTGTGTGTAGGTGGCTCATGTCCCTAGTGTGGGTCATCTGCACACTTACAGTCCCCTCGTAGCCCTGGGGAAACCATGGGACTGGGACACTGAGTGTGGAACTGCAAGGCTGAGCCCCGGAGCTGGTCCAGAAGATGCCGTGGAGCCAGCAGCCACACTGTCTTGGGTGCTCTGTTTGTAGCATCCTTCCTGCTAGGCCTGGAAGCATGTGAGGTGCAATAGGTGCAGGCCATTTGTTTTCATCAGTAAATTAAATGTGAACTTCATGCCATTTTCCATCATGCTGGTGAGAGTCTCGAGAAGTCCGAGAGCTTGGTTTGGGAACAGAATCATTGACTTTGGATTCCGTGGCATTTTTCCTTAAAACTGCAGTTAAATGCAGCTCTGTGCCTGCACGCAGCTTATCAGAGGGGGCAACACGCTTCCCAGCCATGTGCTCCCTTGCTGGCCCTTCCCTTCAGCTCAGTCCCCACCAGGTGTCTCTGTAAGGGGCGCCGGCCCGTTGCAGTTGCGGCCTCCTGTGCGACTCGGTGTCCACTGCCGCTGCCTGCAGTGTGGAGGTGGTACTTTCCCAGCAGGTGAGATGGCAGGTTTCCCATCAGATGGTGGGACATTCATTTAGGGTTTTAGCATCAGCATGTTTATTACCTTTTCCTCGTGTTTTCAAAATTTGTTTACAGAAAGTTAAATATTTTCTAATTCCATAATTTCAGATCTCTGAATTATTAAAATAGAGATGTTAATTGTACATATTCACGATGATACTGTGGTAAATGCTGCTTTGATTTTTTTTTGTCTTGAAACCAGGTCTCACTTTGTAGTTCAAACTGGCCTTGCGTTTACTCTGGAGCCCCGGCTGGCCTCAAACTCAGAGCAGTCCTGCCTCAGCCTGAGTGCTGAGGTTACAGGCATGCATGACCATGCCTGGCTCTGCATACTGAAGTCATGGAATTCGCCCCCTTTTTAATCAAAAAATATTTTACCAAAATGGTATTATGTGAAACCTAAGTACTTGAAGTCTAGTATTTCCATTCTCAGTTCTTGGCTCTATTTCAGGTTGAATCATGTAGCTGCTGGTCTTGTTTCTCCAAGTCTGAAGTCAGACACGTCTAGTAAGGAAATAGAGGAGGCTATGAAAAGAGTCCGGGAAGCACAGTCGCTGATCTCCGCTGCTATAGAACCAGGTAACACTTTCTTCACAGATACTGGCCTGTGGCCGAGTGGGAGGGTGTTGAACCCTACTCCTACATTTCCAGACTGACAGATTAGAGATAGGAGGCAGTGCCCCCACAGGTGGAGCAGCACCCAGAGTCTGAGGTTGCCACACTGGTGTTGTCTCCGGGGAGCAGAAGACAGATGTCGTGTCTGCTGCCGTGAGTAGGGTAGTCGCCAGGCAGTGGCTGACCATCAAAAGCCAGCAACACCCAGGGTGACATTTAGGCTCGTTTCTCTTCATTGTCTACTCCAGCATGGCCTGGTTTTAAGTCAGTTAGACCAAGAGAAGAAGGAAACTTGCAAAGTCTTTATTTTGTGCAGTCTTTGATGAAGTGACCTGTCTGTATGTGCTGGAGAGAGCAGCCAGGTTGCTGCTGCTCAGCAGCTGCTCTGCCCCTGCGCTAGGTTTGGGCACGGGTGGCCCTGTGCCGTCCATGTGTGTCGTCGGTCCAGGGGTTAATTACTTTTCCTTGTTAAGGTGTTCTTTGCTCTTAACTCCTTAGTGAATGGGAATGTTAGTATGTGTAATACTAGAACATTTTTTTTCTTTTTTATTTTAGAAGGAGACCTACAGGGTCTCACTGTGTAGATCAGACTTGTAGTGATTCTCTTGTTTACAGCCTCCCAAGTGCTGGGATTAAAGCTCGTGCCACTGCACCCCATCTCAATCACCATCTCAGTGCGCCCCGGGGTTGGGGCCAGCACAAGCAGGTCCAGGGATCGAAGTCCTGGCCCCTGCGTCTGCCTAAGCAGGTGCTTTAATCCTCTGAGCTGGCCCAGAAAACCATTTTTAATGGGAAAGCATTCCTAGTGTTTTATGTATTAAATGTTATTTAATTGATGCGATGTTTGTATTAGCAGTGGTCACATAGCTAGTAGTAAAATTTTAGATACATAGCTGGATCTTTGTGATCCAACACTTACACCTGATACTTATTTCCTTTGAAAATCCATGACTGAATGAATGTAGTTTCCTAGATTTTTGTGAACTCCTTCTTGGTAGCGACGTTCATAACAAACTGAGTGCTGTTGATGAGAAGAGCTAAAAGTGAAAGATGAACTCATTCTCACTTTGAAATCAGGAGGTGAACAATTCTGTTGTAGATGTGTGGCATATGCTTGTGTAGTGGTCTGTTCATTAGCCATTTGACGTGAACTTGGGTTCAGTGTATTTAGCATAGGAGTATAAAGTTCAGTGATGGAAAAGGAAGTGAATTCTGCCCTCACGCCCAGCCCAGATTCATGCGTGCTCACACATGGTGAGGTTGAAGAACATTTTACAACATTTTAAATGGGTATTTCAATTATAAATTTATATGTTCAATGTAGTTATCATTAAGTGCTGTCCGGAAGGTATTAGCAGTATAGAAACAGTAACAATAAAGTCTTAATCTAGTTGCATTGTAACTATATGTGAAAGACCCCAAAGAAAAAGAATTCATTTAGAACCTTGTACAGAATAAGTTAGAGCCAAAGAAGGAAGATAAACCTTTTTCTTGTTTTATAGAAAACACCTTGCAGCTTCCTAAGAATGTCAGGTGAGAGTCAGCAAAGGGAAGCTCACGCTAGCTGAGAACATGGAGTCTGCCGAAACCCCGATAGTGAGGGTCTCGTGAGCAGGCACCAGCACTGTGTTAGGAAAGGATCGCCTGCGACACTTCAGGATGTGTGTAGAAGATGCGAATTGGGATAGAGAAGTTCTTGGACTAACTCTTGAGTAGGAATAATCCTATTTGATGATTTCTAAGGATAGATTCTTTTTTGTTTCCTTTTAAATCAGATAAGAAAGAAGAAAAGAGAAGGCATTCAAGGTCCAGATCGCGTTCTAGGAGGAGGAGGACCCCCTCATCTTCCAGACACAGGTGAGGTTGCCTTTTATAGAGTCCGCTCTACAGCCAATTCTGTGCGCTGCAGTTTTTGTCATTTTCTGTCAAGTTGCTACCCGAGACCAGTGTCGGCAGACTGATGGCCCATGTGCTGCTTCAGGTGTGTGTTAGCGCTGAGGGCGCTGAAGGTTCACCTTGGAGCCCTAGAGAGCAGCGTGCCTTGGTGCCAGCTCCCTCATGGGAAGAGCAGAGACGACAGACACTTACGCAGATATGTCTGCATCCTGCTTTAAGCCAGAAACTCCGTGAGTGCTAGGAGCACACTGCAGGCCTACCCGTGCAGGAGCGCTGAGCCCTGGCAATGTCACTGGCAGTGGCAGCAGGGAGAGTTATGTAGGGAAGGATCATTTACCTGTTACTGTGGTGGGCTTTTTTCTATACAAAATGGAAAAATCAAAAAAACGATAGTTCCTGAAAGATAATTGTGATACAGAATGGGAAACCACAGAGCACCTCTTTGTATTGTTAAATTAAAGCCTGCCTTCACTTTGAGTAGGCCTTTAAAGAGGAAGAAGTTTCACTGTTTCGTTAGAGACCTCTTTCCTGGAGATGCGGCTCTCTTCCTTAGCATAGGGTGCAGGGAAGTGGCAGTGATTGCTAGGACAGTCCTCAGCCGCTGCTGAGGTTTGCGGCGACAGCATCAGCACGGAGCAGACAGCACATAGTAGCTGCTGCTTTGGAGATAACCCCAGCCTCCTACACCGTGTGCAGACGGGCGTGGGGCATCCAGGCGTTGCACTGGTACCAGCGTGAAGGATGCCGTGGGGGCTTTTCTTCCCAGCTCTTTCAGGCAGGCCTCATTTGGCTTCATTTCTAAGCTCCTTGCCCAGGTTCCCTTTGTTGTCCTCAAGTCCTGGCCTAGGCTACCCCGAGGGTGCACATACACTTGTAGGTGGTGCTCCTGCTTCACCTCGCTTAGAAGTTAGGCTAATTACTTGCTGCATTTTGAAAACATTCTGAAGTATTAATCTTTTTGTTAGAAAAACCTTCTGTTCTTGTGACTTGTTTTAATGTCTTAAGTCAGGTGTTGAGCGGTAGCCCAAGGGCACAGTGGGGAGTGCCTGAGCTGCTCCTCCCATGGTGCTGGGGACCTAGCAGAGGGAGTTGGGCGTCCTGAGCAGGTGTCTGAGGATGTGGAGCCCTTACTACGAGGTTGTGTAATGAGCAGTTTCCAGTTGAAAAGTGTACAAGTAAACATTCGTGGAGTTCAGTATGGCACATTGATGGCCTTCTTCTGCAGGGTGAGAGGATAATCTGTATGTCACATAGGTGCCCAGAGCTGACCTTGGGAGAGTCCGTTTCATTCACAGCCATTTGTGAGGTGGGTGGTGTTAGCTTTCTTCAAGTGCAGAAGTAACCAGAGAAGGACATCAGATGATGCTCTCACCGTGCGGGGCTTACGCATTGAGAATTGAGCCTCAGTCTCCCAGCTCCTGGTGTGTCACATAGTCTTTGTGAAACAGACAGGAAGTTGAGGCTGTACTGGAAAGGGCCTGCAGAAAGGCTACAGGTTCCCGAAGGTTAAGTCATCAGCACTAAGAAAGGAAGTTGGATGGGTTTTTAACAGCTCTTGAAATGGAGGAGGGAATGGTCTGAGGCAGAGACCTGGGAAACGTAGAAAGGCTATGCATGCCTGTGTCCTGGAGGGGCTCAGGAGAGGCTGACTGGACGGGGGGCAGGGAGGTGTGGCAGGGGTGCGGCGAGCAGCTCAGGCTGCATTGTGTGGGAAGACTTGCTTGCCTTGGAGTTTCCTAGTTGTGATATGGAAAAGCAGACAACACCACACAGAGCAGATAGCATACAGTACGGATATTGTGTCTACTCCAGCAACTCTTTCTGGGACTTGTCTGTTTGTAAAGTATGTTCCAAAAGTTTGATAATTGATAAATAAAGTTTAACCTGCAGTAGCAGAGAATTAGCTAAAAAGGCCTTATTAAGATCTAGTGGAGGGCTGGTCAAAGAGCTCAGCAGAAAGCAGGCGCAGAGGCTGGGGTCTCGATCCCCAGGCCTGCCGTGCCAGCCCTGCCCCCAGGGTACACTGAGACAGCGATTGGGCGTGGTGGTGCACACCTGTAATCCCAGCCCTTGGGAGTCTGTAAACAGGTGGATCACTTTGAGTCCGATCTAGTAGTGAGACCCTGAGCACCCTGTAGACCCTCCCTATACAAAATAAAAGTAGTTAGTAGAATTGTAACCAGTTATGGTGCTCCATTGTTATCCCAGCACTCAGGAGGCTGAAGCAGGAGGATTGCTGCAGGGTCAAGGCCAGTCTGAACCATCTAGTGAGCTTATGACCAACCTGCATTACATAGTGAGACCCTGTCTCAAAAATAAACGGAATATATGTCATGGAAATGTTTTTTTTTCTGCTTCCTTTCATTCCAACTAGTTTGGTTTTCTTTTGTATGTGTTATACTAGGGGTAAACCTAGGGTCTTCACACTGAACTGCGTGCCCAGCCCTTTGATTATTTCTTCAGGGCCTCCCTAACTTACTGAATTATCCAGCGGGGTTCAGACTTGGGACCTGCCTTCCTCCCAGAGTGCTGGCTGACAGCTGCGTGCTAGAACTCTTGGCTTCTAGTAGGACCTTCTGGGGATCTGTAGGTGTCCAGGTGGAGTAGCCCTGCTCTCATGGGTGTGGTACAAGATTGAAAGATGGGGAGCTGCACCCGGTTAAGCAGTTCCTAATTGTAACACAGCAAGTAGCTTCAGTCTGGATTCTACCAACAGCCGCTGGGAGGGCACTTGTGCTCCTCACTGCCCTTCTGAGGCTGGCAAAATATGTGCTGTTTGTCTTTTTATATTTACCCCACATGGGTGGCTTTTTTCATGATTAGGCGATCAAGAAGCAGGTCAAGGAGGCGATCACATTCTAAGTCAAGGAGTAGACGACGATCCAAAAGTCCAAGACGGAGAAGATCCCATTCCAGAGAGAGAGGTAGACGGTCAAGGAGCACATCAAAGACCAGGTACAGCAGCCCTGACGTGGGTGTGAGCCTGGGGTTTAGAGCAGTCCTAAGGCCAAGCACAGGGCTCCTTAATAAAAGGTGAGGTGGGTGGGCACAGGGACGGGGCAGTGAAAATTTCTCTGCACTTCTTCGCACTGGCCCTGGCTAATGTTTCAGGACTACCAGCCTCTCCTGGTGATGTGCCAGTACATGAGGCGCCCAGCTGGGCTTCGTCCTCAGTAATTGCTGGTCACACTTCATGCCATGCACTCCCACAAGCTCCGAGCAGCTGTGGTATGATCGGGCCGTGTGATCGTAGCACACGCCGTGGCTTGTGTATTACCTGCAACGCCGCCATCTAGCCCTGCGCCTTGAAGGGCTGCTGCTAGAGCACGCTGCACGCTGTACGTGGCACTGCGGCCCCATATGGACCCTGGGGTTCTGGTCATCTCAAGTTAGGTGGGGAAGAGCAGCAGGGGAGGCGGCGGTCACTGCTGGAGCTGGGTCCGAGGGCGGGCTGGAACACACGGCAGGGCAGAAGACTGCTGTGGAACAGCGGGAGCGTTACAGTCCCAGATTGCTAGGATGGGGCGTGAGTTAGGATGGGGTCAGAGAACTCATGCAGTGAATTAATGTATTAATCATTTACTCATTACATAGCTCTCGAGTAAGATGGTGTTACTGGAAAAAAAAATCACTGAGATTTAAGGAAAAATGAATTTATAGGAATTTGCAAAAAGATTTTGAGTTCAAGCATTTTGATGGGCTGTTTTTCTAAGAGCACCAAACAGACCAGAGCTTATAGCAGTGGAAAAGAAGCGCCCTCGGCTTGACCCTTGAGAGGCCCCTGGACTGGTGCTTTGGGAAGACACTGATGAGACAGGCAGGGTGCAAGGGTTGTAGCCAGTGCTGGAGGTAGCTCATGAGCTGAAGGCGAAAGGGGTGTGACGGGACTGCAGACAGGTGAAAGCCTGCTGAGCTCACCTCCCTGGGCCAGTGGGCAGCCAGCGTGCTGCTCGCCTCACGGGCTGCTTCGCGGCAGGCTTTTGAAAGCTGTCATTTCCCACTGGCTGTGCCGCAGAAGCTGTCTGCCTCAGCATCTAGCAAGAGCATTCGTATTCTCAAGAGCAGGAGTAAATCTGAATTTGCTTTTGTTTTTTATCTGTATTATTACATAACTTGGCATTAGCTTTCTTACACATTCCTAAATTGTATTCAATTAGAGACAAAAAGAAAGAAGACAAAGAAAAGAAACGCTCCAAAACACCACCAAAAAGCTACAGCACAGCCAGACGTTCCAGAAGTGCAAGCAGGTAATTAGGTGTTAGAAATTTTTAAATTTTAAACTGCAGAACGGTCGGTAGCCTGTGGTAGTAAAGGTGCTCCAGCACGAAGGGGAGTGCTTCAGTGTTAGGAAAACGGGTTTGGCAAATGGCAGAAGCTTTTGAAAGGCAGTTTGGGAAAAATAAGCTAAAGCTCATCTTTTTACTTAATATTTATAGAGAGACTGAAATGACATGTGACTTAATGCACATCGGTTTTTCTCTTGTCAGTTAAGTTCTGATGGCCAGCGCAACATGCCGGGAATCAAACCCCAGTCCCTGCGTCTGGCTACGCAGGTGCCTTAATCCACTGAGCTATCTGGCTGGCCCAGTGTGGCCCTTTGTTGGAAGGAGGCCTGTAGGTATCTGGGAAGTCAGTGAAGGGCACTCTGCATTGGTTAGCAGGGTCTCAGCCCACGCCACACAGGATGGCATTGCACTCACTGCGGTGCTCACATCCAGAGGATGGGGAGAAACGAGAACCCTGGGCATTGTGACCCCAGTAGAAAATCCTGCGCCTCCTTTAAAGGACTTAGCAGGTTTTTGATTGTGCAGTTTCTCTGTTACAAAGACATGGATACTTATCATAGGCAAGAAGTTGGCCTGCCTGCCCGCTGACAGACTGGTAAGGAATAGAAGGACACCCTGTAGCACAGAAAGAATGAGGAGGCCCTTGCAGATGCCAGGTTCAAGCAGCCAGTAGCAGCCAGCCGCCCTGGGCACTGCCCTGCATTGTATCCACAGCAGACAGGGACAGGGATGGGGCAGGCAGGTCCGCAGCCAGTGGGGTCAGTACTCAGTGGGGAGGGGCCGGATGGGCTGACTCAAAAGGCAACGGAGGTTTTTTTGAGGGTGATGGAAATGTTCACAAGTGAGCCTGTGAGGAAAGAAGTGTCAACACTTTCCTAGAGAATTGGGAGCGCAGTTACACGCGACAGCAGGTGAGCCAACGTCACAGCTGGGCAGCCAGGGAGATGCTCCCTACGTGCTGCGCGTCCCAAAGGAGTGCAGGGAGCAGCTTTGCAAGGACAGGCTTGGGCCTTTTTTTTTTTTTAAACTTATTAGGGTATACGGTCTCACTGCGCAGATTGGACTCATGGTGATCCTCCTGCCTCAGCCTCCCCAGCGCTGCATCACCATGCCCAGACTCAGTGGTCGGGGGCAGGGCTGGAGGTGAGGTGCACCAGGTCCCTACACTTGCCTAGCAGGCGCTTAGTCCGCTGAGCTGTCTCGCAGGCCCTCAGGCTTGGATTTTTAAAGTCACCGCATAAATGAAGTGAAAGCTGTTTCTTAAAATCAATTACTCAGAAGGCTGCCATGATTTAAATAGATACCAAAATCAAGTGACTAAAAAAAACAAAACAAAACAAAAAAAAAAAAACAGTCGCTCAGCATTGGTGGGGAAGATTTTACTGGGGTGTAAGGAGTCCAGTACAGCTCTCCGCTCTCTGCTTTCTGCATGTCATCTAGTGGCGTAGGCTGACTCTGCCCTTCAGACCCCAGCATTTGTCCTTGTTTGATTCAGAAGCCAGTTGCCGCAGTAATGGGTTGCTACTGATTTCTTTCTTGCAATAAGTGTTAGGTAATCAGTTTTTTCCATAGATTGATTGTCTCAGAGCTGGGGAGATAGCTCGGCAGTCTAAACACCTGCTTGGCAAATGCAAGGGCCAGGGTTCAATCCCTGGTACTGTGCTGACCTGGAACTCCCGTGTGCTGAGCTTTCTAGCAAAACCAGGCGTGGTGCTGCTCACCTATAATGCCAGTGTTGGGGAGGCTGAGACAGGAGGATCAGTACAAGTCAGAGCGCATAGCAGAGCCCTGCACCAAGTAAAAGATTGAAAGAAAGAAAAAGATTCTTTTAACTCAAAACGGCATCATGGGACGGCTCTTGTGTTACTAGAAGTGTGTAGTACAGGTTCCTAGTGGAGCGAAGTAGATCGTACTGTATTTTAAAGTCTAGTTTGCACGTTTGCAATTCCAGAGAGAGGCGAAGACGAAGAAGCAGGAGTGGAACAAGATCACCCAAAAAGCCTCGGTCGCCTAAAAGAAAAATGTCTCGGTCCCCATCCCCACGAAGGTGCGAGTGCGGTGAGGTAGCCCTGTCCTAGAAGTGTCACAAGTAGTGAGGTGTCCAGAAGTGTTAGGTGCCTTGCAGCTCTGCTCCCTTTGGGGGATTTCAGATGCTGCCGGCACCCGCTGGCAGACTGCACTTCCTGTACTGCTCCGGAGGTCACCTCCGTAGATCCACAGCCTAGCGCTTTTGTCTTTTTTTGGATTTTGGTGATGTCTGAGCACGTCAGCCCCTCTGTGCTGAGGGTGAGACTTCTCAGGACCCTGAAAGCACCTTCTCTGAGCGCTCTGACTGTTCTCATTTCAGACATAAAAAGGAAAAGAAGAAAGACAGAGACAAGGAGCGGAGCAGAGATGAAAGGGAACGATCAACAAGCAAAAAGAAAAAGAGCAAAGATAAGGAAAAGGAGCGGGAGAGGAAGTCTGAGAGTGACAAGGATGTGAAAGTATGTATACAGGCCACCCCGGTGCGGGTTGGGGCGGGCCAGGGCCAGGGCCAGGGCTAGAGCTGGGGATGCTCACTTGCGCGGTTCCCGGGAAAGCAGGTCACACGGGACTACGATGAGGAGGAGCAGGGCTATGACAGCGAGAAGGAGAAGAAAGAGGAGAAGAAGCCTGTGGAAGCCGGGTCCCCCACGGCCAAGGAGAGCTCCGTGGAGAAGGTGGCTGGCGACGCGCTGCGAGAGTCCAAGGTGAACGGAGATGACCACCACGAGGAGGACATGGACATGAGCGACTGAGCCCGCGGGCCCCGCCACGGCTCGCTCGGCCTGCGTGTGCCTCTCGCAAACACGCACGCAGCTCTGAGTTACAGGTGGTTGTAGAGCTCCTGAGGCTGATGTGCGTTCTTTACGTCCGGAAGCTTGTAGCAAATGGTACCTTGGTAACAGCTCTGGTCGTGGTGAGATCTGGCAGAGCAGCCAGGAGCCTTACTGTCCCCGGGCTGCTGCGGCACGAAAGTGACAGCTGCATGCGGCCACAGCAGGCATGGATCGTCTCTGTCGTGTGAGCTCCTTTCTTACGTATGTTCACTTATAGTCTCTAGAACTTGGTTCATTGCCGTACTAGGGCCATGTAGGGAATGCGCTGATTGCATGCTATTGTGGCAAGAATACCCTAAACGTCATTGCGCCCCTCCGGCAGGGCGGGTGGATCTCCTCTGGTCTTGTTTGTTGACATGACAAAGTAACACTCGTAGAGTCACATCTGGAAAAGAGCACCTGAAGTAGATAATCCTCAAACCTTGTGGCGCAATTTTGTGGCTTTTGTTTAACTTTGAAAGGTTATATGTGCACTAACCTTTTTTGATGGCTAATTAGGCTTTAATTACAGAAGCAAGGTTTCACCTAAAACTGTCTTTGGCAGTAAGTAAATTAGCATATTTTGAGGTAGAATTGTATACGTTTTCATAGGTGTTCCGGAATTTTTTTCCTGAAATAATTTATTCCACCTCCATATCAGTGAAGCTATCCACCTCTCCCGCGTATGCCTATAAAACTTAATCTCTCGTCCTGATTTTCAGTTTCCCAGTTTATTGTTTTCAGCTCAGTGTTGGAAAAAAGGGGATAGTGCATCTTAAATTGATCATCATATACTTTAAAACAAATCTCCTTGATAATGTACTTCTATTTGATCTCAAGTTGTATAAAACCAATAAATTTGTGTTCTTATTACTGCAGTAGTAACCTTAATGCACACAGTGATTATCTGCAAAGTAGTTAGGCAACTGTTTTCTTAGTTACAGGAGTTTCAAGCTTTACTTTTGTGCAGTAAAAACAAAAGGAGGCTACAGTCCGTGCCATGTTGATGTACAGTTTCTGAAATTGTTTTACAAGACTTTGATAATAAAACCCTTAAACTTATGTTCATGTTCCTGTAAAACTGTACTTGTATTTATTTACGCTGTTGAATGTATGACACTGACCTCACTTCGCAAACCTCAGCCCTGCCCGCCCCTTCTGCACCCTGGAAGCAGCCGCGGGCCGAGATCCTCAGGCCGTGGCCTGCCGCCGGTGCTGTGGTCTGGTCGCCCCGTTTCTTATGCCTTGGATGTGGGAGTGGGGTTAGATAACACAGTGGACCTCTAGGATAAACAAGTGGTCTCACCTTCAACTACTAGCAAACTTGTATTTTCAGTGAAATAGAAATATTTGCCTCTTCTGAAACAGCGTAGATGTCAGCACTGTCTCTGTTGTACCATACTGCGTAGTGTATTTCTTCCCTTAGGAGGCGAGCAGTGCTTGGGCAGCTGGGCTGAACAGACGTGGAGCTGTAGCTTTTATCCAAGTTTTGAGTATAAATTGGTTTTTTCAAAACCTGTTATAAAACTGAAACACCATATAGAAAAGCAGTGTTTTTACAGTTTGCATTTAGCTTTTTAAAGATTTTATCCACAGGACTTTAGTTATCTAGAGCAAGTAAGTATAAGAAGTTTTACTAATGGGCTGAATAGTCACGGCATTTTTTGAATAGTTGGACACAACATTTGTGTAAACCTCCAAGAATGTTTTTTAGTAGATAAAGTTGAACCATGGGGCATGACCATTGTAAGTCACAGACAGGGGAGCCGTGGCACCTCCCGGTGAGCCTCGCTCCATCGCCCACGTGCAGGACATGGTCCCTGCTGGGGCCCGAGGAGCGGCGAGGCAGTGGGTGATGGGGCAGCCGACCGCAGCAGGGAGCCCAGAGCCCACCGAGCGCTGCCCCACGGTGCTGTTGTGTGTCTGCTAGGGAAGCAATTTTAAAATAAAAGTGGTTTTGTTAGAAAATGTTTGTCCTTATTTATTTGCCTGAAGTTTTCGTACTAAGTAAGCGTTGTGGCTATATGTAAGGCACCTTTTTGGAAGAAAAAAATTTTTTAATGTTTTGGTTTTTAAAATAAAGACGCCTATGTAGTGAAGGCTGTTCGCAGGCTGCCTGCCTCAGCCTCCCGAGGGCTGGGTTGCAGGTATGTGCCATCATGCTTGGCTGAGATGTCAGGAGTCTGCTATGATTACTAGAGAGGGATCGTACTGTTTGAAGACTGATACTCTTAAATTGGAATTTCAGTTTCTGCTCCTCAATCTCAAAACCAGCTAATGGTTCTCTCTGCTGAGCATGTTGCTCCGTCAGGAGTGTTTTCCTTATGTCAGGAGTGTCTGTGGGGCCTGTGCTGATACTTTTGTTTCCAAAGCATCCTGGAACACACATCTAGATGCGAGGTTCACCTCCCTTTGAAAGCTTAATAGTTAGTTTTGCAGTGCACCGTCACTAAAACTCTCATGACACTTTACAAGCTGGTCAGCTTGATGGTATGATTTGTACGCTAGAACTGAAGGCCTAGGTCACAAGCAATGTCCCAAATGCTAGTTAGCATTAATGCAATTGTTAGGAATTTTCTGCCCAGCATTTCAGAAACAAACCAACTTAGCTCCTGGAAACACACTAAGTGTACTTTTGATACTGTAACACTAGTGTACATGTGGAGAATGGTAGCACAGTGCTGTAATCCCAGCACTGGGTGGCTGAAGCAGCAAGCTTCCAAATTCGAGCCCAGCCCGGGCCAGCGCTACCTGAGCAGCTCTGTGGAGACCCAGGCTCTGCTGGTGGCCTGTGGCCACCGGTGCCTGCGATCTGGCCACACTGAGCAGTGAGAGCTGGAGGGCGTGGGCAGAGGCTGAGAGCGGGAAACGGGAGGTGCTCTGGTCAGCTCCCAAGTCCATGAACATGGAGGCCTGACAGGCCCTGTCCTGAAGGGCCCTGGAGAGACTGCGTCTCCTCTGCCCGAGGAAGCACGGGTGTGCAAATGGGCTGCATCCAGACAATGAGGAGATCTGAGACAAGAAACCTGACCCTGAGGACTTAAGGTGGCGCCCAGAAGGTGCTGCTCACTGCCCGGTATTGATGGCGTAAGGGTGCAGTTTTTTAATACCCTCAGACCAGCAGTGTGTGCTGTTGCATGGGATTTGGAGCTACCCCACTTCTCAAGACATTTCACTGCCAGATGTCTTTCAAGCCTGGTTTCTCAATAATTTAAGGATTTATTGCTTTATGTAATTTTTTGCTTTTGAGACGGGGTCTTGCTATCCAATTCAGGGTGGCCTAGAGTTCACTTTGTACCCCATGATGGTCTCAAACTCAGTGATCCTCCTGCTTCAGCCTCCCAAGTGCTGGGATAACAGGCGTGCACCTCCATGCCCAGCCTTTTATATAATTTTAGACGACATGATTGAAGTCACAGCATCTGCTGCATCTAACAGAAGGGCTACTGCATCCAAATTCATCAGACACCGACTATCCTTGCTACTCAATTTTAAACCCTCATACACAAGTGGGACGTGGAGTTCACCAGCGCTTTCTTCGCCAGCTCCTCCCCGGCCTCAAGGCTCCAAGAGGACCCTCAGGACCCGTGCTGCAGCTCAGTGGGCATTCGCCCCTCTGTGGGGTGCAGGCCCGCCTGCAGTGAGCGCTCGCTCCCAGGAAGCCAGCCGAACGGTGGGGCTCCACCTGGCTCAGCACTGTCCACCAGCCCGAGTGTCGAGAACGTCCCATGCCGGGGCCTATGCCTGCAGTCTGCAGGGCCTGCACGAAGGGAATCACGCATGCAGCAGCTGTCCCTCCAGAAAACCATTTCTCCAAGACAGGAAATTTCCTTTACACACCACACATGACAAAAACTGAGCAACTGTATGTGGCTGTTTTAAGAGACATGTCTCTTGGGTCACAGAACTTTATATAAGTATGTCCCAAAATCCTTATTTTCATGAGGTAAAAATACATGACATTGTGACATATACTCTTAAAAGAATATAGTTTCATTCTCAAGAGAATTTTAAAAACGTCAGGATTGGTGGGGCACTCGCTCTATAATCCCAACACTCAGTTGGCTGAGACAGGAGGATCATTACAAATTTCAGGCCAGCATGGGCCACATGGGTCAAGGCCAGCAGACAACGTCTAAAAAAAACCCACTTAAGTAAATGAATAAATGGCACATTTTGAAAATCTAATATCATAAAGTTTATTTGCATTAACATTTTTCCACCATCTTAAAAGATACATTTATTTGTTCTTCGTGATCAGAAAAAACACATTTTGGAATGGACAACGTGTTTCTACTATTCTTTAAAGGAAAAGGTAAGCTTTAAAACCAAAATCCAAGGGCAAAAATCCAGTAGTTGCCTGTCTCCAGTAAGCCCCAGTAAAATGCTAGGAAACTGATACTCAAGCTGAATCGCCTTCACTCTCTTCAGAGTTGGCTGCACTGAAGAAGAGCTGAACGGTTGTATCCTGGAAACTGCACCAGGGGTGGCATCCGAAAGCATGGTGCTCACTGCCACTCGCCTCAGACCTCATAACCCAGCGCCCTTCATCTAAAGCCTGCCTTAAAAACTAGTGAACAGCTGCTCAAAACCAGCTGAGTCATCATCAGTTCTTCCCTCAAATTTCAAGAGGCCCACATAAGTGGCCACCTCTTTGATTTTTCAACGATTACTTTTCTTTATTGTAAAATACTCAGGTGGTAACACACCCATAATCCCTGCACTCTGAGAGGCTAAGGCAGGACCAGCCTGGGCAACCCTATCTCAAAATTCAAAATCAAAAAAGGGCTGGGGCTGTAGCTCAGTGCCAAGGCCCTAGGTTCAATTCCCCAGCACCACAAAACCAAAGACACCAACCTATGCAATGTATGTACCAGTATGGAAGATGCAGCTTTAAAGATATTTATTACTGCTTTTGCTTATATGAGAAACTCAACATATAAATAATGAGCAAAATAAAAAGTGATGTGAAGCAGGCAGATACACCAGGCGATGGGACGGAGGGAAAGGGCCGCACGACTGACCTTGAGCCTGAGCAGTTACCACGATGGAGCCCCACAACGGACTGGGCTGTGTAGAGTGCGCACGAGCACGCACACACACACACACACACACACACACACACACACACACACAGTGATGAGAAAGGCGTTTATTATAAAATGTTAGGGCTGATACTTTGGATTCTTAAACACCATCTCTTCAATAAAGGTCTCAACTCATTTCAGATTCTCTAGGTTTCTGGAAGGAGTGTGAAATACTGGTCACTCTTAAAACCTTGACAGTAGCAAACTGGACAACACAACACTTTGTGCCTGTTATACATTATTCTCCCTAATTTATTTTCGTTCATGGACCGTCAAACCAGCTTGAAATAAATACCAAAATTTTAAGTGCAAAAATAAGTAATACATGATTTTACACTTTGGAAACAAATAAAATCAGTATTTTCCTGTGGCTGAAAAATACTAGTAGGAATCACCAATCTTGTCTATGCATTTGGACTTTAGCTTGTAACAAATCCACTGTGATGACAAAATGTGTCTTCCTCAGAAAGCAGTAACACGTCCCACAGGCTTGAGCCACCAGCAGTGACACAGGACCGTCCCATGGGGCGGCTTGTACCACTGGTACTACAGGTGGACCTCATCACTTTTGTTGTTCTTTCTACTAATGAAACTGGCCAAAAGCCACTCAAGGGGAAAGCCATGCATGTACTACCGGTGGTTCAAGGCACCCGGCGTGAGACGAATTACGCCCCCTAGTAAACGTGTTAAATATAGGGCTATCCAAAATACATGGGTTGGTTTTATTTTTTAAACTGACAAGAATGTACCCACATTCCGCTTAAAAATAAAATAGACATATGCACTAATTATTGGGAAGCAAGTTCAAAAATTTGGAATTGGTTTAAAGTGCTGAGATTTGGAAGAGGACAATCTAAGCATGCCATACCCTATGAACATAACAAGGACTCTTAAATGCAAGTTTAGAAAAAAAAAAAAATAGAGGTTCTATGAAAGGAAGATTAGTACCAAACATTTCCCATTGAAGAAATTATTCAGGTAAAAACAAATAGCACCACAATGAATTGCACTAAGGTGCTAAAGGAGGTACCTTATTCCCTGCAGTGAGCTCCCTCGGAAATGTATTGCAACACACCAATGCAATCGCCTATCGGTTACCATTTGGTTCATTCGTCTACAGAAAGCTGCATTCCTTCTAGTTCATTGTACTGAACACACATTCAAATTACTCAACTATACATAATGTTACATAGTTTACATTTTATGAAAACAAAGCTCCAAGGAGTATTTATAAATGTCACCTTGAATATAAGGTGACAAGTTTAAAAGGGTTTCATATCTCTTAAGACATTTACTTTATGTTAATGGTCCAGGAGTGTTAGATATAGATACAGATATATTTATATGCATATATATTTCAACAAGTGTGAAAATTTTTAAAAACAAATCAGCACTGATAGCTGCTTTACATACGAAGGTCATGGGATCAGTAAGGTGTCAACTATTACACTTAGATTCTAAAAAGACCAAAAATGGCACGATGGGAACCTGGCTGCACTGCTTCTCAGAGGCCCGGGTCTTTCTCGCTGTTCCTGAGGTCTGAGTTCAATGCCTGACGCCCCCCTGTCCACTGACAGCATCTGTCCCTCTGGTTTGGAATTGCTTTTCAGGTCTCTGCGTCCTCTGATTAGGAAACAGCATTTTTCTCCTCAGTTAAAGGTCAGGAAAGCGGCTTGGGTCTTCCTTGTAGTCTTCAGGTATGGTAAAGATGGAGCCATCGAACTCGTCATACCGAAACTCCTGAAAAGTCACAGTGGCCGTGATGGTGGGAAACACGGGAATATCTGGAGAGAGACGATCAGAGGGGACACTGAGCAGCCACGTCTGAAGACCACAGACATTAGCAGAGAGGGTGGGACTCCCTAGACTGGAAATAAACCTTATCTATACATGAAGGAACACACAGAGTAGGAGGAGCAGGAGGAAGTAGAGGAGGAGAAGAAGCAGGAGGAGGCAGCGCAGAAGGCCGAGGCCCACCTCTGGGCCACGCTGGCTACACTATGCTGGAACGTTTGGCATCTTTCTATCACTTACAACACATTCACCACTTTACGCTGATTTATTTTCATTTTTACTAACTCATGCAAAATATATTGTTATTCTTTCAGAACACTAAAACTAATCCACTAAATATGTGGGATAAATACATTCAGCCTCTACTCAGCTGTGTTTCTGTATGAAGTGCTGCGAAGAGCCTGGGCTCAGATTTCTACACGTCATCTCTATGTAGAAGACTCCAGGATTCCATCTATAAAATAGTTATAAAAATGAACTCAAAAGTCTACCTAAAAAAAAAAAAAAAAAAGTCTGCTTAGTGCAAAAACTTACAAACATCAACTTGCACCTTTAGGGGCCTTTTCTTTCCCCCTCAACTTACAAAAAAGATTCTTGTGCCAAGAAGAAAAAATAAGTAAAACAAAAAACTACAGTAAACACAAAATAACAAAAATCAGCAAGCACACCTCACACCTCAACATTAGGACAAGTAGCCCCCTGGCGCTGTGGGAGGCACAGCGGAGACCAGCCCTCACTGCACTCAGGTGCAGGCGGGCTCTGCCCTGGGAAACTAAAGAGCTGGGGACCAGTCCGGGGTCGCTGCCTGCCCACCCACTCCCTCCGTCTAGTTCCCCAGCTTTCCTTCTCCCAAATCAGCTGTGACCGAAGTCTCCCGAGCAGCAAAGCCATGAGTGAGTCCACAGTTCACACGGGAGGGAGAGGCTGACCAGCAAAGGCGGCAGTCACAGTGACTGTGACCTAGAAAGTCCACTCCGCAAGAATGGTGGGTCCCGTGCTGGGGCCATCTGGGGAAAAGGGAAAGCCTCCATGTGGAGACTGGAATGCACGCGGGGCAATGCGGTCCAAGGGAGGGGGGCCCTCAGGTGCCCAGGCCTCTGCAGATGGGTGGGCAGAAGGCACGGGGAGGAGCGGCCGCGGGGTAGAAGGACACAGAGTCTCAGCTCGCTGGCTCATGCAACAGGGCGCCAGGAAGCTGCGGACTGCTGGAGAAACCAAGGCTGCGGAGAGCACAGCATGCCTGGGCTTTTTAAGTGCCCCAGGCCTCCTACGCATCCCCCAGCTTCTCTCCACTTTCTGAATTTAGGAACAGAAGCCAAGCAAGATGAGGCCAACCCAGGAACAGGGTTTTTTTTTTTTTTTTTACAAGGCAGCTAAAAACGGATAAATTATCAGACAGCGGTGAGGTGGTCCGCACCTGGCAACTGCCTATGAAGGGCCAGAGGTGTCTCCTCCCACCAGCAAATCAGTTCTTGTACAAAACTCTGGTTCTGTGGCATCCGGTCTGAGTTTGGAACTTGCAATGAGGCCCGCAGGAGGGGCGGATGGCAGTCCTCAGGTTCCAGTCGCCCTCTACCCAGGCCAGATGGAGAATCCAACCACGAGCCCTGCTGGAAGCACGCGCCCGCCCAGCCCTTCTGGCCCAGAGCCGCACCTAGGCACTGCAGAGTGACCCAGGGCCACAGGGCTTTCTGCAGCACAGCCTTCTTCACGACCTTTTCAGTCATTTACCCAATTGGTTTTAATGCAAAACAATGTTTTATGTCCAAGTCTGGAAACTGCAGGTCAGGTTTAATTCGCACAAATCATCAAGAGTAAAGCACGGCACCTAACGCCCACGAGCTGTGTCTGCATGTGCTTAGCATGCAGTGCAGCAAGGCAGATCCTATGGCCACCATCACGGAGGGCCGCGCTGCGAGAACCTGGTCCTGTCACCCTCCCCCGGCCCGGGCGCCACCCGGCGGGCACACGGCCCGCTCATAACCCACACCCTAAAATACCTCTTATTTGGCTCTTCCTTCTAGTTTTCCAGTATGTTACAAGGATAACTAATCACAAAAAGGCAAGGCTACAGTTTCCAAAGATGAATGCTGGGCATGAAATTAAGTGCAAGCATCGAGACTAAGTCAGGGCGTCGATGATCGCCTGCGCTTCAGCGGTGCCCGCCGCGTCTCCGCACCCTGCCTGCGGGCTCCTCGTGAGCAGTGCCACCGCGCTGCCCCACTAGTCCGGCTGCACCTTCTGCTCCCCACCAGGCAGCATCAGAAAACGCTTTACACATACGTCAAAACCCAAGGACCCAAGCTCTCGAGGAAGGTATAGCATGTGAGCAGCTAGGTGACCCGTCGAGCTGTACAACGCGCTGCTCATCTCACTCTGCATTCCTAACAGACGTAACTCTACACCCAAATGGTTTTCTTACCTAATTTTACAGGAAAGCCTGGAGGAAGCTTCATCTGCACAAATTCTCTAAGCTTGTTAAAGTGCTTGAAGGGAGCTATTACTTCTAAAACATTCAATAATCTGAAAGATGGAAGAAGAAAAATTATTTTTATGTTCAAACTGGTTTATATGTGTTCTCGAGCTTTAGACTGCAAGCTTAGTAGTGCCAGCTTCAAGACTTTCAGGTTGAGAAAAGAGCAACTTCCTGAGTGTGCTTCTGGTACCCTTCTCGGGAAGGAGGGCAAGGCGCGTGGCTGCGCCTGACGGTAGCACAACCGCCCAGTCATCGTTAGAGCCCTCTTCTTCAGAGATGGAGGCGTGCCAGCTCCGACAAGGTCCTCAGTGCGTTCACTGGACTCCTGGGGGTGGCCGCCGGCACTGCCGAGCACCGTCCGTGTGGAGAAATGAGGTGCTTACGCACTCTGGCTTCTTTTTCCGATCTTTCACAGGAAATCCGGCTCACGTGAATTTCAGGCTGTATTTATCACCTTCTCTAAACTAGTATTTCATGTGTGCCCCTTCATGTTCCGTTATTACCAGATATTAGGCTACAACTTCTCCACCTACTTGGGTCAATTTCACCAGAGTGGTGGCATTTCGCGTTCCACGAAGGCCTACGCTTGATATACTATAGCACCTGTTAAATTCTTGTTTTTGAGAGAGATCTTCAGTTTGTGACATCTTACCTAGATATGCTGACCTTACGATATTTGCTTTGATTTTATTGTATGTAAAAAATACTTTAAAATACATTATCAAGCTCACTTTACCTTTTTTTTTTTTTTTTTTTTAAGGGAAGAGTCTACAGGGAACCTTTCCTGCTAAATGCCTCTAGATTTATTAACAACTGAAACCCAGGGGGCTGGTGAGATGGCTCAGTGGTCTAAAGCACCTACTTAGAACAAGCTTAGCAAAGCGCAGGGACCGGTTCAATCCCCCAGCACCACATGCCAGCCAGCCCCGCCCCCTGGTGGGCTGAGCTGGCCACACACACACACACACACACACACACACACACAAATAAAAATAATTAAAAAAAAAAAACAAAAAACTGAAACCCAATACACACATCAGGCTAACTTTAGTTACTGACTATTCTCTATGCATTTTTTTAGAACCCAGTGTTATCCTATAGATTCAGTTGTTCCTTAAAGAAAACTTTTTCTCCTATGTTGAATACCATTTCAGTTACATTGCGGAGAGCACCAATGAGTCTAGTCTCATATCACAACATCTTCGCTGTGTCGTTTCCTCTGAGTCCTTTCGTGTGTTCTCACCCACATCACAGACTGCCAGGGTTTAACATTCAGCCATGCCTGCTGCTCCGAATGTGTGTGTTGGGCATGGCGCTGTTAGTGCGCTGTGTGTTCCACAGCTCTGCCAGCTTTTCAGCTCATTTTGCTGTCCCTCAGTGCGTCTCACAGTGGTTAAATTACTGATTTCCTTTCTTTATGTTCTTCCATAGTAATTACAGAAACTTTGTGTGTTCACTGACCAACCGGTCAGTCTTCTTGGCTCTTCATGTGGTGGTGGCTTCTTTTTTTGTGCTTCTGTGTTTGTTCCTAGATTTTCATTTTCAGTGGTACCAGACCTTGAACCTGGTCTGCTGGCCAAACGCTCTACCACTGAGCTACAACCTCGCTCCACTTTGAACTTTTTTTTTAAATTTTGAGACAGATTCTAACTAAGAAACCCAGGCTGGGCAAGAACTTGCAATCCTTCTGCCTCAGCCTCCTAAGTAGCTGGGATTTCAAGCCCTTAGCACCACACCAAGCTGACTTTTGTTATTTTGCTGTTTTTTGAGAAGAGTGATTACAAGTGCTATAGTTGTAAATACTAAGACGCTCACTTTTTTTCACCTAACACGTGTGAAATTGGAATTACTCTTAAACTGGTGTCATAGTAAGAGACTGCCCTGTGTACTTCTGTAGCAGGAAGCAAAACACAAAAGTAGCAATCACGGCGTGTCCTGGCTCCAAGCCCAGGTGAACACACAGAGGTATGCGTGACAACCTCAGCCCAGTCCTGTTTCCCAAGCTGACCTTGCTGACCTCATCTTTTAGGTGTGCAGAATTCTCTAGCCTCCTCTCTAAAGCTTGGGAACAAGCAAGTCTACGCTGCGCACACGAACTTTTGGAAAAACCTAGGTCTTACTTTCTTCCTAGAGAAAAACAGTAAGGTTTTAGGTTTCCGCTTGCTTTCCTTTTGTAGTGTATTAAGATTCACCAACTCCATGGCCGTCCCATGGTGGAGGCGGCAGCGCTGGAGTTCTAGAGGGGCCAGGTCTACAGGTGCTGTGGTGCATGCCTCTACCACCCACTACAGGGCTTGGGCAGAGGAATTACAAGCTGGATGCCAGCCTGGTCGACTGGGCAAGATCTTGTCTCAGGATGAAAACTAACACAGGTGGAGATGAAGGTCAGTGCAAGGCTCTGGGTTCAATTACCGGAAAAACAAATGAATGACTGATAAGAGCCCGCTCTGGCTAGCCATCTCCCCATTCTATCCATTTCCCCAAATGGATTTTAAAAAAAAAGCAGCAATGGATGATACCAGTCTGAAAGGATAATTTCAAAGACATTCCCTCCAGTACTGTTTATAATAGCGATGAACTAAAAATAGCTATTAAACACTTCCCAGGAAGGGGATGGAAAGCTGAATGATTACACCAGTGCTGTAACTCCAGAGGGAAAAGGAGGGTTAAAAAAATGCAGTTGCCATAAAAACTCCACAATACACTTACTTTTAAAAAAAGAAATTTCTCATTTTTATAAAAAGGCAAAAAAACATTAGTAGATCATTTGCTGTAAACATGTAAAAGAAAATTACCAGTTTTATCTATAAAACATCTATGCTTTAGAGTCTCTTACAAGCATGTACTCATGTATGAGTTTGAAAATGTTTCAAAACCGTTTGGTGTGTCCGGAGGAAACAGCGCTTCGCCGGCGGCAGGGATGCGCACCCAGCAGAGCACTCCACGGCACCACTCGGGCAAGCGCTTCCAGCCTTTGGCTGTCATAGCGCCTTCCCCAGGCGTGCGCGGCTAAGGCACACTTACGACTCAATTCCCAGGGGAAATTCCTGGCTCATGGCGATGGTGGCTTTGAACGTTTTCTTACTCTCTTTGCACACTAGTTCTCTACCCAGGTGAGGAGCTCTAAAATGAAAGCACACAACAAAAACAAAGAGAAATTTGCTTCATAGAACAATCAACAGATCAGTCTTTCCTACCAACTAGAGAAATACCATTATGCTAAACGGGAACAGAAAATGTATAAGCAAAAAAAGGAACAAAAGGTTCAGACTGTAAGTTCAAAAAAATGATCAGACCACAGCACTGCTCATCCTGCTGACTATGCATCTGAGTTCTACTAATTCCTATTTTGAGAAATCAAAAAATCAACAGGAAAACAGGCTTTAAACGTATCATTCAGCTGGATGCAGTGATACACACTTGTAATCTCAACACTTAGAGGAGGCTACAGCAGGAGGCTCTCAGTAAGTCTGAGCCCAGCCTAAATTACACAGCAAGACCCAGTCTTCAAAAAGAAAAGTCCTTAAAATCACTTGATTCTGTATCCTTTATTGTCTTAGTATTATCAAAAGACAAAACTATGATGCAATTAAAAGTCTAACCCGTTTTTGTTGTGTTCTGACTTATACCCCATGCTGTAAAACAGAACCTGGGTTCTGCTAGGCTGAGCGCTGGACACTGGAGGCTGGCTGAACAGACACCGAGGGGCTTAAGAATACAGAATAAAGCCAGGCGGGGAAGCAGGCTGGCTGCATCTGTGGTGGTTTCCTCACAAGGATAAAAACACAGGGACACCCTGAGGACACTGGTGGCTGCCGCACTCTCCCATCCACAGATAGCTGGACCGTGTTGTGCAATGGTATCAGCTATGCTCATGGCCACGGGACAGAAATGCTGTGCAGAAGCTGGACCCAAAAACTCCGCAGGAAAAAATAGTAAAACAATGACAACTTCTTCCTAAGCATGGGGTTGGACCCTTTTTTATTCTCTACCAAAAGGAAATGGACTGGCCAGAGGGGACACTTTCACTAACTCATCTGTTCAAAGCTAACCCTACCCCCGTCACCCATATTCTTTCACTTGAGAAAGCACACACTGCACACAAGCTGCGGGCTCCAGGCTGCGCCAGTCACACGGCAGGACCAATGCGCTCACCACGAGGAGGAGAGGCCCAGGCTGCCAACAGGGCACCTGGGAGGAGACAGACCCTCTACAGTGCCAGCTCCTACACCTGAGAACAGGAGAGCGAAGAACGAGGGTCCGGAACCTGTCCAGAAGGGCCCACACTCTGGAAGCCTCAGCACTTGTTATGGTTGTGTCTAGTTGTCCCCCAAAGCCTCATGCAGTCATGGAGTAGGCTTCCGGAATCTGTGATTAATTCATGATCCAAGGCTGGGATCATGGGTGTGAGTGCTCGACCCACCCCAGGGGCAGGCAGCCTGAGTGCAGTATGAGGGAGGGAGAGAGGCTGGCCTGCTGCTCAAGGTGCTGCTCCTCCCTTTGGTCTTTGCTGTTTTCTGCCACCATGAACTGCTGCCCTGTGCCACTCTGCCCTGGATCCAGCCAAGTATGGACTGAAACCTCCATTAACCTTGAGCTAAATATACCTTCCCTTCTTTAATCTTGGGTGGTGAGCATTTTGTCCTAGCAATGAGAGAAGAGTAACCAAGATAGCACTCATCACATACTTCATATTTTTAAAAGGTAAAAACAATGCTTCAGAAAAAAAATTCTAATAGTTATCTCTAAAATAAGCTACTGTACATAAATAATCACAGATGATGTTCTAACGAATTATTTTTTAAAAACATTGAAGACATAAACTAAAAGCGAAAGGAAGCAGGGAGGACACCTACTTTCCGTTCTCCGCAGATATGTACTCTTCCCAGGTGATAGTGTTCTGAGGAGGGGGCGTCAGGGACTGTCTGCGCACTGGCTGCGGAACACAAGTGGGGCGGGGGACAGAGACACTGTCAAGGGTTTGTAATTGTAAAATTAAAGCACACAGTCAGCAGAGAGAGGGCGACCTGCTCAAAGGTGGAATGTAGGAAGACTCCTAGGAGGACCCATGGGAACAGGGGCAAGGAGAGGACAAAGATGAGAAGAAAAAAACACAGCAAACCGGTTAAACAACAATCAACTTCAGCTGTTCAACAAAAAAAAATTTTTCCTTCCAAGACAGTCCGGCAGACTAAAGCTGCAACAGGAATACCGCTGTTTTCCTTTTCTACATCCCAGAAAGAACACACATGTCAAAGCAGCAGCACACACCCCTTGGAGCTCCAATCTCCCGCGCTGTTCCTGGAGGCAGCGGATACGCAAGGGAGCCACAAGAGCGTAAGGGCTCTGGCTTCCAGGGACTCACAGATCAGTTGGAAAGAAAACAACACGGAGATGAAAATTCAGCAGAAATTTCAAAACTGGGAGTGGAGGCACACCCCCATAATCCCAGCACCAGGGAGGCTGAGGCACGAGGACTGCTGCCAGTCCGAGACCAGCCTGGGCTAAGTGAGCTCAAAGCCAGCCTGACCTGAATAGTGAGATCCTGTCTCAAAAAGATTAAAAAAAAAAAAACCCATACATAATATGTATGTAAAGATTTAAAACCAAGAAGAAATAAAAGTGAAAACACCAATTGATTTACTTCAACCAGGGAAGAACGTTCAAAATGGAAATCAATATGCTCAACATACAGCTGTCTGGGCCTTTGGGCCTGTTTCTGTGAAATACGAATTTGGATTCCCACAGAATAAATAAGCACCACGGAAGAGCAGGAGAAATTAAACTGTCAGGAAAAGCTCCCAGGACCGGCTGTGGAACAGAAGCGCTAAGTAAAGGCGCGACGCAGACAACCAGATGAAGAGTGACATAAAGGCACTCTTGAAGGAGGGGCAGAGCCTGAACAGTGCGCACAGGCTGCTGCAGCGAGGCCGTCTGCTAGAGCTGTTACAATCAGCCTTTTAGGGCACAGGACCCGAGTGGAGGCTTAGCTCTGCAACCCACTGACTGTGTGAACGTGGGCAAATCATTTGCTTTTATGTTAACGTAAATACATACAAAATAGGTCTGTGTTCATCTACTTCACAGCTACGTTCAAGAAAACACAGGTAAAAGGCTTAGTGTGTGGAAAAAATAAAGAGGCCCAGTGACCCTTGGAAGTTCCCAGACAGCAGTTAAAGAGCAAAAAGAAAACAGAAAGGGTCTCCAGCTAGACCTTTACAGCAACAGGTGCTGTGACACTGAAGACCTGGAACATGAAATAAAACTTCACAGTGGGTTCAGGCTTACGGAGGACTGCAGCCCACGTGACCAAGCACAGATCCACATGAAGCACCAAGAGCCATTTGCTCCTTTTCTTACTCCTAGTAATGACATAGAAAAACAAAAGCCAGAACACAGGAACCAAACTCACGAGTGGATCTATGTGAAGTTCTCAAATTCCAGGAGACTAAAGTCCATCTGCCCTCTCCGAAAGGCAGTGATCAAGGAGAAGTAAAACCCATACCTCAAAATTCTGCTCCATGAGGTTTCCGCCCTTGCTCAAACTCTCCATCATGGCCTTATTTCGAAGGATATCTTCTTCACTGAGATGCTCTCTTCTCTTCCTTGACTCTAAAACAAGTCCATTCACCAGGTAAAAGTCTGCCAAAAAGTTTCCTACTCTTTCCTAAAACAAAATCAAACATCCCAAGATAACTAAGCTTGTATTTGATTTTTTAAAGTCTTGAGATGACTGTCTCCACAAACATGTAATATGCAGGTGAAATAAATATTCCTTTACCACCTGAATTACTAGATTACTTCACGTATTCTACTAGGTTAAAATACATAACACTATACACTTCCAATGTATAAAAGATTAGCACATACTGTTTTATCTTCTCGAAAAAGCCATCCAGTTTGGGCACGCGTGAAAGAAATTGATTTGGTTGATAAAGTCGCAGAGTAAATATCACTGCTCATTAGAATGTCAACCTCTTCTTCTGTTTCCATCTCTGATTCCTATGGAGGGCAGGAAAGTTACATTTCAGAGTCTAGGTTTTAAGTTATTAGAATTTGCTACATATGCAAATAGTAATACTTACAATACTATAATTGATTTCAAAAGACAAAAGGGGTATTCTTAATAATGTGAAGTGCTACTTATTCAAAAAACAAAACTTTAGAGTTCATATACCTGGTATCTTCTCTAATGTCAGAATTATAACTAATTATGAGTCTATAAAAGTGGACACATGAATGACACTATCCTTACCCTGTTACAGACGTGTAACAGCCTGAAAGTTACCTACTCCAGAGCCAGGCAGTCCATAAAGCAATCTTAAAAAGATTAAAATAGTGGTGACAGACCTGAGACAAAGTGCCTTAAGGAGGTTTTGCCTGCTTGCTTTTCTTTTCCTTTTTTTTTTGGGGGGGGGGGTTCCTTTTTGAGCCAGAGTCTTGCTACACAGTTTAGGCTGGCCTTGAGCTCATTTTGTAGCCCAGGCTGGTCTCAAACTTGCAACAATCCTCCTGATTCAGTTTGATACAGGCATGTACCACCACTCCTGGCTTGCTTTCTTTAAATATCGATGCTCTGACTTTAAGCGTTTTTTAATTTAGAAAGCCAGCATCACTGTCATCTGAGCCTTTCTTTTTCAGTGAAAGAGAGCAGGCATATGTCTTCTGGAAGTTTCTAACAGAAAGGAAAGAGATTCATGAATAGCAGCCCATGATGTCTAAATTTCACAGCAGCCTTGCTTCAGGTTTTGTCCTTTCCACATGCCCTAGTGCTGGTACAAAATAAATGAGCAGCAATGATGTGAGGGGAGAGGAAAGGAAAGTTTTGTGCTTGCCTCAAGGGCATCAGACAGTGAGCAGGGCAGGAAGGCACACTGGGAGATGAGGCTCCACCTCAGAGCAGGCAGGGAACCCAGAGCTGCCCGGCAATGAGACACATCGCAGCTCCCTAGGCGGGAGCTCTGTTCCCCACAGTTCTCACCTGTGTCTCCGCTTCTGAGGCCTACTCCATTCTGCACCACCCAGCTGTCACCAAAACGACATCCCTTCCTCAGGCTCCGAGTCCACAGGGAACAGGAGCAAGGACTTGGAACCTTATCATTTCCTCCCCCCTTACACATGGAAGATATAAAATTTGCCCTTACATGAGGTGAAAATGTAGGGCAAGGCAACATGAACTAATTCTGGACACACATTTTTCTTAGGAACAAAAAAAAAACCCCTTTGGCTAGAAGGGTTGACAAGAGCAAACATTGCCTTCAACCCCATGGGCCAACCTCAAGCCCTGTTCAGTTCTCTGCTCTCTTCCCTCCAACTTTCTGTGAAAGTTTTCTTCCTGTTTTAAAACAAAAACGTGTGTGCATGCACAGTGTGTGTGTGTGTGTGTGTGTGTGTGTGTACAACAGTCAACTAGAATTCTATGTATTAGCCTGGAAACAACATATACCATTGTCTATGAATAAATACACTTTAGTTTAAAATGCAATTTTCAAATACACACTTAGAATGCCAATCTGCAATCAGAAACCACCTCCTACCACACCCCTGAAGCAGGCCTGCTACCGCAGTACCGCCTGCCTCCTGGAAGCCTATGAGCGCTAGCGTAGTCATCCCCCTGGATCTGCGTGAGGTCGGCCCCAAACCCTCAGACACCAGACACTGAGGACTGCCACGACTCCGGAATGCGGTACCATAACATCCACATGGAATCTACGCACATCTTCCCAGATCTTTAGGTTATTCATAATACTCAGACACTATCAATGCTGTGTACACAGTTGCTACATTTTTTTACAGGACAATGACAAGAACAAAGTCTGCACATTTCAGCACAGATGCAGCTTTAACTAAACTGCCTAAGTACTGCTAACTGACCCTGCAGCCACAGGACATGGGACTGTGAAAAGACTATTGTATTTTCTGCCCTAAAATTACTGCTCAAAACTAGCTTTCCTGTGTCTCAGACAATACACAAACACATTAGCCCACTAACCATTCCTGTGAAGATCAATACTATAGCTCCACTAAACTCCCTGCCTTAACTGATTTCTCATTCACTGTCAGTTCCAGCTCACCTGCTGTCATTTAACATTCAAGAAGTCAAAGCACCTAGTAGGCATCAGAGTCCAGAACAGGGGTCAGCAATCAAATCTATAGACAGACCCGCAGTGCTACTGGGTCAGGCTTGGTTAGTACACACTGCCTGTGGCTACTCAATTCTAGTAGCAGCACAGAGGTGGCACTGGGCAAACCGGATGGCCCGCAGATACAGCAAGCACAACTGCCTTTTCAGGGAGTCTCTTGACCATGCAAGCAAAAGAAACCCATGTCCATGGAGGAGCTAGGCCACATACAGAGAGAAAGCTGCAGCAAACATACACTGCAAAGCGCTGCAAGTCCAGGTTTACTCCCGACACAGAGAAAGCAATGGTCACCTGGCAGGGGAGGCAGTGGCACTAAGAAGGTGGCCTTCGGAGTGAGATGCAAAGCAGGCATTCAAGGTCCAGAAACAGAAACACCGTGAACACAGAGAAATGAAGCTCAAAAAAACAGCTCAAACTAGCCTGGCGCATCTGGAAAACTGTGATAAATTCAGTGTACGGTGCTGAAAATACCAAGGTCACAAGAAAGCACGCCAGCTGAGTGGTGCAGAGCTGTGAGTACAGCACCTAGGGAGGACAAGGCAGGAGGACCACAAGATATCCTAAGGTAACTTAGCGAGAGCCTGACTCAAAGCTTACAATGGTATAAAGAGCTCCCAGCATGCAGGAGGCTGAGGCAGGAGGATCACTGCAAATGCATGGCCAGCCTTGGATACACAGTGAATTTCAGGCCAGCCTGGCACATACAGTGAGACCTGCTATTAAAAAACCAAGAAGAGCTGCAAAGGCCCTTAGCTCAATTCTCAGTACTGAAAAAACATTTTTTTTTTTTAAAGATTTAATTTAATTTATAAGAGAGCCAACAAAAAGTAAAAGTATGGGCACAAAAGGACAAAAGTGTGCTCTGGCATTGGGACCACTCATTATACAAGGAAGCCTGGCGTGTCTTAGGGAGCCAGGCTTGCAATGCGTCCAGAAGGAGCAGCAAGACCACCGAGGGGCTAAGGGATCGACTACCGTCCCAGCAGGGACTAGACAGGGAGTCATGAGACAGCGATGAAGTAACCAGACCGTTCAAGCTGGGAAACACAGATTACGAGAAAAGATGTTGCTCCAGGGCTCTGGCTGAATAGCAAGTGATAGCACTCACCGCGGAGGGGAGATAAGCACTCGGGAGATTCAAGGACCCAAGCAGCTGGGACCCCAAGCAAGTGCAGGTCCAGGCTGTGAGAGGCAGCAAAGCCTCAGGATGGCAGCCTGTCCTGTCGGTGTGCAGAGAGCAGCACACACAGGAACCTTTCAGGGGTGAGCAGAGAGGAGGACATAGGCAAAGGAAAGTAAGGAGAAATAGGGGCAACAGCTGACCAGGGGCAGATGCAAAGAAAATGAAAATTTCAAGACCAGAGTGACCCAATAAGAGCAAATACTTCAGAGAAGTCTACTAGAGCAGGTTGGACAAAGGAAGCACAAGGACCAGCCCTCACCTGACCCAAAGCCCCATGACCAGCAGTGCCACCGCCAGCTGCTGGTTGGGCTGTGCCACTCACAACAACTGTGAGGGCTTGTGCTTATCAACACACTATTCCAGTTTCTACAGCCCTTCCGGCAAAGCCGCATCCCTGATAGGCACTCATCACACCCATGCAGCCCACACTCGCTCTCTCGCAGTTCGGCCTCCTACAAGCCTGAGTCTGACTTTGCAGCTGTAGTCACATCTCAAGCCTCAAGCTCCTGTCTGTGATGGAGGTGAAGGCTTATCTGACAGTTTATTTAGGGGGCCAGGAGGAAAGCCACAGACACTTGGCTTATAATCCTAGCATGCTGGAGTCACTGCTTAATGCATGGTAATAACTGGCCTCACTATTAATATAATATCACTATGCACAGCACCTATGGGGTGTACATTTATTAGGCCCGTGATAAATGTTTCAGGAAAGACGAGAAGAACACTGAAAATATACACAATCATTTCATCTGAAGTTTGATCAAGCCAATACCTGGTTTAATAATCTCTAACACTGTAGCAGATCCTGCATCCTCTCAGGTCCATTTCATAACGTACCCTCATTTGATACAAGAAACCTCTCCGCACTCAGATAAATCTCCCTTCTGCTTCTCAAACAGACCGTTCTTCTATCTCCCTGTACTCGTTCTGTTTCTTCACTTCCTTCGTCTTCTCTCCTTTTCCTTTGTAAGTCCTCTCCCCTAGAGACCACATATCTCAACAGAGCGTGCACCAGCCAGCTGAGGTCGCTGCAGTAGATGCACTATCAGAGCACAAATCTGAGAAGTCCAAGGCAGAGGCCAGGGATGTGGTGAAGCAGGTATAACACGGGGAAGAAGTGATGAAAACCAAGGCAAAATACAACACCAGTGCCAAAATAAAACTGATTTAAAAATCACCTGTGGGTTGCAATGACACAGCTGCCAGGAAAGCTTCATGTTACAGCAGGAACAGGAACAAGGGTGAACACACAGGCTGTCAACGGCGACAGTGGAACATACAGGACAGATGATGTGTACATAAGAAGGGCACAGATGAAGACATAGCAGCCAAAGAGTCAGAAAGAGAAGAGCACGCAATAGCCAAGCTGTTCATACGAGGGACACAGCAGGTGAGTGATGGGCCAGGCCGAAGGGCCGGAGAAGGGAGGCACTGCAAGGAAGCCATCTCAGCTGCACCTCATCCTCTTGCGCAGTCCCAGGCAGCTGGGCTGAAGGCACACTGCTTTCCACCCTGCAGAGAAACACTGGCCAGAGGGGGTGCTCACCTCATGGTGGATTCGCTGGTACACTTTCTGCTCGTTGTCTAACACTACAAAAGATTCAGAGGGGGCCGCATCACCATTGAAAATGAAGCTGAGATCCCCTCGTTGGCACTTCATGTCAGTAAAGTCTATGAGAGTCGTGTTGAGCCTGCAGGAGAGCAGTTGGTAAGCAGCTGACAAGTGCAGTTGTGATACAACTTGGGAATGACCAAACAAACTTTATGTCTTTAAAACTCTCCAAGATGCTAACATCATATTTCAAGTTTATAGATAAAAGCTAAATTTAAAACATATTGCTTAACATTTACTTAAAAATATACTATGTTTCACTTTGTTAAAAATATACTTCATTAACCCAGTAAGAAAAAAAAAATCCCATTGTTAAAAAAATATCTCCCTTACTGTATCTTTACTTGCAGCCAATCCCCCACCACTCAGTGACAGTGACTTCCACAGGGAAAGGTGAAAAGGAAGCTGCTCTGTCTGAGACTCTCCAATCCCCTTACGACTAGGATGCCGGGTGCTGGCTCAGCAGAATGTTTCAGGTGAGCACAGCAAGATATGGGCCGCACCCTTGGATTCAGAATGGCCTTTCTGTCTAACCTGGCATCAAACTTTACTTCATCCTTCACCCTGAGCAATCACTTAACCTACTGAAAGCCTGGCCTTGCTGTTCCCCTCAACTCAGACTTGCACTCTCTGTCCAGACCGCCCTACGGATCCTGTTGCCAAGTACTTCTGGAGTCACGCTCTTTGGAGCCCCAGTCTGGCAAGTCTGACCAAATGGCTAGCCTCCGAACCAGAACAGAAAGTGTTACAAGTACCCTAAAGTGTGGCAGCATGCACAGGGCTTCCTAGATCACCAGATCCATGTGCCCTAGCTTATTGAAGAGGGGCTCAAACGCAGCGCATAACTCAAGAGGCCGTGCAGCTCCACAGGCACACATGCACCTGCTATCAATGTATAGGCACCGATATGTAAAGAGGAATCCTACACTAGAATCTACAGTTTACGTACATGTAATCAATAAATTTGCCTATTATCAGGCTAGAGATAAAAATGACAAAATAAAATTATGAAATGACAAAAATCAGATCCAAATGCCAATGTTAGTTATAAAAGGAAGAGAACAAGAGCAATTGGGCTGCAAGTCTTCACTAGTAGACAGATGGCTGAACAGATGGGCACACGAGTGGGTGAGCAGGGAAGCGAAGGGTATGTAAGAGATGGCGCAAAAGGCAAGAGCTGGGTCTTCCTTAGTGTGTCCCTTCGTCCTTAACAAACCTAGGATCAGAAAGTGACCATCTGAAATGTTAGATTACATCACAGCTGCCACTCTGCCTAATTTAGTCTATAGCTGAATAAAAGTTGTATCTTTGTTTTGGTCAAGATTTTAGGGATCACAACCCTAAAATGTATTACCACAAATGAGTAATGTATCTGAATATATCACAGCACTTACATTATTAAACACATATAAACTCTGATTACAAAAGAAAACTTCCCTCTAAATCTCAACTTTCCTTCACTCAGAAAAAAAAATAATTAAATCACCTTACCTGATATTGATACCTTGTTTGTATATTTTACATGCATCAGAAGGCAGAATTCGGGAAAGTAAAGGCACTGTATTTTTAAAAACAAAAGGTAAAAAGTACCTAAATTTTGAGACATTTGTAAGCTTTTAAATTAAAAGAGAAGTATAAAACATTTTACTAACTCAGCAAATTAAATCTCCTTTAAAATAGGATTTTTCCACTTAAAAATAAACATTTGGAGCACCCCAAGTGTCTACAACTTAACTGTAACTTTGGTGTAATGGCCACCCTCGGCTTATCCACATTCAAGAGCTAGCAGACTCAACACAATGCCACATTTGAGGACACAGTGCAAGACATTTAAACGAAGGAACAATACCCTAAGGTAACCAAACCCTCCTCGTGGCTATGCAAAAGGCACTTGCAGCCCTCCCCTCTCAGCTCACAGAGTGCTGGGATTAGAATAGGCTGGCACCATCACATGGCTTTTTTGTTCGTAATGTCTTGACGGGTAAAACAATTCTAAAAGTTCAGTAAAAAAGTACATCATCAAATCTAGTGACAGAAGTTATCCACCAATAGAGACTTTTGTGCCTGAAGTATCTGGGCTAGGTAGACACCAATGAAGTTAGTTCTCAGCATTAGCATTACATTCATCATAGCTTCGATGTCAAATCACTAAAATCACTTCAACAATAAAACGTGCTGACATTTTTATGTCAAAATTAAATTCTCAAAGAGACACTTTTGACAAGCACCTCAGGGATTGACTGTGTCATGAATTCAATTGAACAATGCTTAAATGTTATGTTTCAGGGGCTTTTTATGCCTAGAATCAAACTCAGTAATTTTTGCTTGCCAGGCAGATGCTGTGCCACTGAATTACATCCCCAGCCCCAATATTTTTAACAATGGTAGATGCAAATACAATTCAGAAGTGATTACATATATTTATGTCTCTTCATATAACTAAAATGTCATTTAAAATTTTGTGTAACGTTTTACTCAAGATAAGCTGACTGTGTTAGAATGTAATTCACTGACAGTTATGAAGAAAATCAGTTAAAGAGTCAACATTAGGGCCAAGGAGATAGCTCAGTAGAATAAGCGCTTGCCTGGCAAGCACAAGGTCCTGAGTTCAATTCCTAGTATCAAAAAAAAAAAAAAAAGGACGAAACAAAAAATTGTAAATAAAAAGCCTATCTCAAAAGGTTACCTTTGAAAACAAGAGCCAACATTATTTACGAGATAATGTACATTAGGACAACCAAGCAGGACTTTTATTTTTCCCTGAATCCAGGGCTCTCCACACACTACATTCCACACTTGGCTCACCCACAGCTCTGCACTGGGGTCTCTAAGAGGAAAAACAGATTAACAGATTTACTTGAGATCAATGTGACTGTGCCCTTCTGCCTACACAGAGATCCTACAAATGCTTTTTCTGTGCCTTCCAGGATGCCAAGACTTCTGAAAGATACACGAGGTATGAAGGCAAGTTAAGACTAGCAGAGTAACTAAGACCATCAATAATTTTCTTTAAGGGGCCAGGGAGATAGCACAGCATTGTAAGTGCTTGCCTTGTAAGTACAAGGTCCCGAGTTCAATCCCCAGCTCCACAAAAAAAGTAATAATAACTGTTTAAGCAAAAACTAGCTCAGTAAGCTAGAGTTTTAACAATGTGAGAAAGAACTGCTTACATTTAGAATTTAAAACTCTGAATGTAAGGATGAAATACACCAGGTAAGTCTAAGGAATGTAAGGATGAAATACACCAGGTAAGTCTTACTCACCATGCCATAGAGCATGATGCAGTGTTCAAACTATAAAGCACAGGTGAGCTAACATGGTTAAGATCTCTGCAGTGCAGGACGGAAAAAAGGCAACTTGCAGAACGACGCAGCGGGCCAAGCCCGTCGGGGACAGAAACCAAAGAGACAGGTGTTTGCACGCATGCACGCACACTTTCAAAGCACTGAAAAGGATGTCAAAGCATTCGCATTACACTTAGCAGTGCCCCTGGAAAGCAGTCGTGGGAAAATTTAAAATACCTGATCATCTTCTGTAATGTTCAAAACTTTCAGTGAGTTTTCTATTAAAAACTCGATATAGTCTGAGTGTAAAATTGCTATTAACATCTGAACTACATTAGTCAAAGATCAGTTAAGATACCAAACTTTGTAGGCTGACCTTCAGCTGTACATGCAAGTCGTAAGGCCAGTGTTTAAAACCGCTGATAACTTTGTTACTTGGTGGAAGTGTGGCTTCACAAAAGCTCCAGTGGGAGGCCGGGAGCAGGGGGCATTGGCTAAAAATACTATTAGTAGAAAACTTAGATATTATTAATTAAAAGATACATAAAAACTATCTTCTCAAGGTGGTAGAAAATTGTTTTTACTATAATAAAGAGAAGTGTTAGTGGATTTCAGATTTACTGCTGTATTTACTTCTTTAAAAAGTTATCAAAAGATGTAAAAGAATTAGAAGAAATGAGAAGTACTAAGAAAGTTTCTCAAGAAACTTGCCAGGACCTTTACTACTACAGGTATGCCATCCGATGTGTATTTTCTAAGTGATAAGTTCAAGCTCAGTTTTCAAACTCAAGGGCATTCTGACAATACTGTAACTTTATTCAAGGTTAATAAATATCACAATATGTTTCAAATAAAGTTATTATTTATTGATCTCCCAGTCATAAAAATTGAAATGTCCATTACTTTCCTTATTTGGTAGGAACTAGAAACATCCACGTGTAACAAGTAAATACATATAGAGTAATACAATAAGTTATATACTAAATTTAGGTACTGAACTATAAACATAACTCACATAATTATAATCTATACAGACACATACCTTATAGCTCCCCAAAGTTACATAACATACTTCAACTATTTCAGTTTTCTAATTCTGTGATTACTTGGGGTGCTATCAAAGAGCATTCAAATAACTTTATATTAAAAATATTATAATTGAGATGCTGTTAAAAACACATAAATTTACTATTCCTGTATCTTCATGGATTTGATTTTTTTAAATTTTTTAATTAAAAACAAAATTTCATTGTTTAGTTACTAAAACAAAGGTCACTAACATTCTATTTCCTGTTTGGGCACAGAGTTTTCTCCCCAGCTGATTTCATCTTTCACAAAGCAAAGAAGCCAGGTGTTGGCCGGCCAGATAGCTCAGCAGACTACAGCACCTGCTTGGGCAGAGCGCAGCGCCCTGGTTCAATCCCCTGCATGCTGTGCTGTCCCTGCCCCCGGGGTGCGCTGAGAATGAAGTTGAGCCTGGGTGTGGTGCTGTGCGCCTATAATCCCAGCACTTGGGAGGCTGAAAACAGGAGAATCACTATGAGTACAATCTACATAGTGAGATTCTATAGACCCTGCAGACCCTGCACTAAATGCATTTTTTTAAAAAAGCCAAGTGTTGTGCACATGCCTGGAATCCCAGCTACTGGGGAAGCTGAGGCAGGACAGAAAATCTGAGGTCAGCCTGGGCGAGTTAGGCAGACTCTGTTTTAAAAACAAAACAAACAGTGGGGGCAGGGTGGTGGTGCTTCAATTTTTCATACCATTTTTAAAAACTGAAGGGGGGCTCATTTTCCTACAATAAATCACTAACTCACTGTAAAGTACATAGATCAAAATTAACATCTTCCATACACAATCAGAACATTATATAACCAAACAGTATGTGTAAAGATAGTGGCTATAAAGTATATAAGTAGCAAAACGATTGAAAGATGACAAAATATAATCAAGCAGCACTAACCAAACTCTTCACATTTGAAAATCTAAGTACTGTATTTCCAGCTTTCATAAACAGTCCAATAATCCCACAATTATCTTCTCTGAAAATCTTTTACATTAAATTAAAAATTTTAAGCTCTATTTTAATGTTTTAAAAAAATTAATACAGTTCTCAAACTTCAGGATAAAAATTGCTAAATTTCCTTATAATAAGGATCAAATCTGCTATGTTAACGTATAGTCAAGCTTTTGGCCCTTATATCACTGCATGAATACTTATTTTACAGTAAAACAGCATACACTTACCCCAGCTTTGAAAATCCCAGTGAAGTTCTAGATAAAAGTCACCTAGCTGAAAAACGAAATGTGAGTAATTAGTAAAAGCAACTAGTTAACAGCTCATATGCCTGCTTATTATTTTGATTTTTAAAAAATTTTAGGGGCCAGAGAGATGGCTCACCAGAATAAGCCCTTGCCTGGCAAGGGCAAGGGCCTGACTTCATTCCCTGGTTCCACCAAAAAAAAACCTTTTAACATTACTGGTGTATAGGCAAGAATAAATAATAATTAAATTTTAATGTTCAGTATGAAACAGAAAATATAAAAATACAACAGTACGTGCTAACTGATTACAAAGAAAACATGCAAACCACAGGTTTAAAACGGCATTTAAATTTGTGTTAACAAAGATTCCATTTCTCAAAAGATATCAAGTTAGTCTTTCCTATTTCAAATAATGAAAAAGTAAATGCTGATAATATATATTACGGCAACCTAAATAAAATGAAGGGCTCCTTCTATGTGTCTTCACATAACTGCACTGCTGACTGCTGCTGGTCTACTGAAAAAAGCAGTTAATGTTTAAATTTTTTTTGTCTCTCCTCTTTAGTTTTTTATCTTCTTTTAACCAATTTTGCATACTTACATTTGCTAACCTGAACAACTAATTTAAATACAACAATATCCAGTATAACAACCACTGTTGAATTTCTATTACTTTGTTCAGTGAAATTTTGTATTGTTTTTAGACTTTTTTGTTTTTTACTATTTTTTATCCTTTAAAAACATATAGAGGGGGAAAAAGTAAAGCCCTAAATATATAAGCATTCCTAGCTAAAAGAAGCCAGGCCACTGTCATGTTGTCACATGGTCACCAGGGCAGGACATCAGGACCTCCTCCCTTGGGCAGGATGACAGGTCTCCCACAGCTCCACAAGCCTCTCATTTCTCAGGATGCGAGTAACAACAGGAAACGAGGATCTCTCCCTTCAGTCCTCACCCAAAGGACTGGGCAAAAAGAATGCTTCTTCTAGAAAGAAAAGGCAAGCTGCTGCCTCAAGCACAGGAGCTCCAACCAGGAAAGCACACTCCACTTTACAGGACAAGGAGGAGTCACTACCACTGATTACGACTACTATCATGGCGTACTCACCTAATTTGTTAAAAGTCATAAATCTTATCTTCCTCTTCAAAGAAAATGGGTGTATCTACGAAGATTGTGTGTGTGTGTGTGTGTGTGTGTGTGTGTATGTGTGTGTATATTTATTTGTTTATTTTATTTCTTTAATTTTAGGAAGGGTCTACAGGGTGTTCAGGGTCTCACTACTAGATCGGACTCATAGCGATCCTCCTGTTTACAGCCTCCCAAGAGCTGGGATTTCAGGCATGCGCCACCACGCCCAGTCTCAAACCCCGGCCCCAGCCCCTGCTTGCAGGCACTATAATTCACTGAGCTCTTTGGCTGGCCCACGTTTATGTATTATAATCATAGCATTTTACTATTTCAATTAGGAAATAATGCTTAACACTGTATTTAAAATGTTCTTTAGCTGGAAAATCAGCAAAGAAACACAACCTACCTCTTTCAGGGCTTTTAATAATCGAGGTCGTTTTTCTTCAACACTTTCCCTGGATTGCTGCTTAAGCTTCCTTAAAAGAGCTGTAACTAAAGTTTAAATTAAAGAAATAGTTAGCTGAAAGTAATTTTTACCATGTTAGAAAACACCATTGGCTTATTATATATGTAGACACAACATACATGTTGCATATGTATACATTCACGTACATTTGGACACAGCTGTAATTCCAATGTTTTAAAATCAGACATCAAAGAGCAATATTTAAATTACTGAAGGTCTCTGAGTAGCAAAACTTGAGACAGAAGTCTGAGAACATGAGATATATGGTATTTTTTAAAAAATATGTATGGGGGGCCGGGGAGATAGCTCAGTGGCTTAAGGGCCCGCCTAGCAAGCATAAAGCCCTGAGTTTGATCCCCAGTACCAAAAATAAATAAATGAACAAACAAACATATACGGGATATACACACATATAGACGTGTGTGTGTGTGTGTGTGTGTGTGTGTGTGTGTGTAAGAGAATAAATGAATCAAGTAAAAGGATATGATCCCCCAAGAAATAACAGAAGAGCTACCCAACAGCAACCTATACAATATTAGTTTTTCCTACTTTTTAATTATCAGTAAGGGTTTACCAGCTTTTTAAGATTTCTCAATGATGCTATACCCTGTTACTGTACTGACCTCAAGGAAAATCTAAAGGCCAGTACATCTCAGCAATCCTTTCAGACACTACTTTTCCAAAAGCGTGTATCCGTGTGCCTTTATTCTCAGGTGTATCTGCTTTTCCCACTGGAGCCTGTACCCTCATGTCATTAACACGGTATAGAGAAAGATAAAACACTGCCCTGCTACGACAGCGAAGAGTTACAAGAACCTGAAACAATCCAGAGTAATTTCTCACCTTTTATGAAATCAAGACTTCAGGGCCAGTGACATAGCTCAGCAGACTAAGTGCCTACATGGCAAACGCAGGAACCGGGGTTCATTCCCCACACTACACGCTGTGCCTGCCCCACCCCCAGGCATACTGAGCTGGCCACAAAGACTGGGCATGGTGGCACATGCCTGTAATCCTAGTGCCGGGGAAGCTGAGAACAGGAGGACCACTACAAGTCTGAGCTGTGTAGTCAGACCCTGTACCAAATACATTAAAAAAAAAAAAAAAATTCTTATCACTGGGCCTATAGTTAAGTAAACAAAAGTTCTCTCTACTAGAAGAGAGAACTTGTTTGGCTTGGAAAAATCAACAGATTAACCCCTACCATATATCAAAATTATGAAAAACATTACAGTTTAAGCCTTGCAAAATATAAAAAAATGTGTGTTGTGTATGTACATCAATATCTGCTAGTTTCTTCCTGCTCCTGACACTTACACACACATATCTTCAGAGGGCTTTCTCTATCTTTACTATGCTGTAGTATGCAGTTTTATAAACCATTTCAAGCTCCATGTGGAACAGAGATGTAGCAGGAGAATAAAAAGAGGAGGAGTGAGGAGAAAGCGGAAAACAAGGACAAGATGGGAGGGTGAGAGGAGGAGGGGTGAAAGCACAGACCAGATTTACTTTGTTCACTTAGGTTGAGTTAGGAAAAGCCCAGAAAAGAACAAGAAAAACAGAATCTACTTTGCTTTCTTCGCCACAGGTCGAACTATAACCTTAATATATTTTAAAAAGCCAAACAGCAAGGAACAATGTTTACTGGCAACCTCTTGAAACAGAAGCCCAGACACAAAAGCCAGGGACGGGGGCCTAGTTTCAGTTGCACCAGAACAAGCTTTTGACCCAGATCACTAGTTTCCAAGGCCTCATCTACACTACAGGGCCAAACTGTTCAAGTTTCCCCCAACCTGCAAAATAATTTAGTAAAGCTGAGAACTAGAATAAGTTCTAAATTATTTACACACACACACACACACACACATACACACACACACACACACACACACATTCATTCCCATGTAACGACTATTCTCCCCATTGTTTTTGGTTTCAAATCTTTATGAAAATGTCAATCACAGACCAAGTACTATCTGAATTCTTATAAATTAACAAGTTAATTTATAACTTGTTATACATGAAGTATAACACATACTTCTATATATCAGTCCGCAAACAAAAATTTTTCTCCACAATATATGAATCTGAGAACCAATGATACAGAAAATCCTTCAGAACCTCACAGCTGTTCAGATCTGACCTTCCTATTTACTGTAATTTAACATCAATGCTGCTCAAGTGTAGTTTGATTCCTTTTCTGGTTGTTTTTCATTAAAAACTCAAATATCTTAATAAATATTTACTCAATCTACTTTGCCTTCAGGTTGAAATGGGCTTCCACTGAATACAAAGGGAAGAATTCCTCCACAAAAAAGGTCTCTCCTAAGAAGGAAAAACCAGACATTCTTCATTAAACTGATGTAATTTCATCAACATACTACAATTATATCTGTCTGAAAGTATTCAGTCAATAATAGAAAGGCATATCCTCATGAGCAAACATGATTAGATAGTGCCAACTACGACACAGTTCATGCACAGCAAGACAGCGAGAGATCCCCGATCCTGGAAGACGCTTGCTTATTGAAGCACACTTTCAATGACACAAAATTTCCAGTATTTCCAGTGCTATATTGTAGGAATCTTAGTGAAGATAAATTTTTTACGTTTCTCAGGATTTAGACATAGAATTCATACACAACTCCTCCTCCCACCAAGTTTTCAGTTTATTTGAGCTAAATCTTTGGAACTAACTCCTCTGCTCCAAAGATTCCTTAAGTCTCTGTCCTCACCTCTGCCTCCTAACCCTGATCTATTTCCTGCTTCCTTCTAGATGCACAGAGGCTGACGCAAAGGCCACAGACCGGCAGAGCTCAGGAAGCCCCCACTGCCCCTCCTCCTGTGCACCCAGGTCTACTCTGGAGGTCAATCTCATGCTGCACTAGAAGCCTGGGCCTTCAGAGTCCTCCATCACAGGACAGGCTCAGTTATCTCCCCAGCCTCAAAATTTTCATTTTGATACAGGGTCTCAAACTCTGCAGCTGCCCCTAACCTTGTGGAACTGGGGAGCCGGCTGCTCAGTCTTCTGAGTCACCAGCACTATGGTGGGTACCACCCACACCGAGCTGCAATTTTATCCACTTATTGGCCATTCACTGAATACTCTGCCAAAGATTTTAAAAAGTGAAGAAGTCAACATACTCATGTCTGAGTTCTCTGAGAGTGTCTATCATCAGGATAGAGGAAGGAACAAGCACTGAACAACTACTTATGTGAACTAAGATGCAAAAGCAAGGAGGGGATCACTCTAAGGATTTGTGACAAGGAGAGAGACCACAGTACTCCAGGAGCTGAGGAAAGGCATCTCTCAGAAATGAAGATGACGCTTGCTCGCTGAATATGAGGCTGTGAGCCACAGGCTGACAAAATTCCCAAAGCTACTGGAAGTATGCTGCTACAATAAGCCCTATAAGCTCCTAACTCCTAGACACAAGGTACACAAGTCCCAGGGTCGACCAGAAACCAGAGCTGCCTCCATCTGAGGGAGGCTAGGGAGCAAGTGGGGGGGACAGCAATTCCAAACAGACTCAAGTTCCATCCATGCTGTTTCAGGTCCCCCACCATTCACCAGGTAACCACTGAGTGGCAGAAAATGAATACAAGTATTAAGTAAAATGCTTCTGAGCAGTCGTTAATCAATAGTCTAGTTAGCACTGCTTATTCTATTAACATTAAACATCAAACACTGCGTATTCTATTAAACATTGACAAAATTATCAGATATTAGACAAAAACCCACACACAAATAGCTTTCATTAATAATTTGTATTAGAATATCTGATTTATTAAAAAGAATTTTAATGCCCAGAAGATTTTAATGTAACACAGCTAAATAGTAAAGACTTTTTTTTTTTTTTTTTCCAGAACCAGGGATTGAACTCAGCCCCTTGCACTTGCCAGGCAAGCGCATATTCTACTGAGCCATCTCCCAGCCCCTAAAGACTTTAAACCATACCATTTCAAATCATTTCACAGGACAGAGGACAAATGCCATTATAAATACATGTACGTTAGGACCTCTTTGCAGGTACCACAACCCGTTCCATCAATCACCCTTTAAATCAAAGTTAAGTACAGTTTCCTAGCTGGGAGACATGAGTACACAGCACCCCACAGCCCAGGGCTGTCAGCGCACGCTCGGAGGCCGCCTGCAGGCCACCCCCCAGGGGGGCCTCTCTTCTGCACTGAAATCCATCACTAAATGTCCTGTCATTGAGTTTTCCATGAAAATTTTCTTCACCTTAATAGATTAAAATTCCTAAACAGCAGAAATGTTTTTATTCTGTACATTTTATTTATTTTTTATTTTAATGTATTTGGTTGTTGCAGTCTCACTACATAGCTCGGACTGGTGGTGATCCTCCTGTTTTCAGCCTCCCCAGCTATGGGATTCCAGGCGTGGATCACCATGCCCTGGATTCTGGTCGGCTCAGCCAGCCTAGGGGGCCCGAGCAGCATGTGGTGCAGGGATCAAACCATGATCCCTGCGCTTGCCTAAGTTTGCATGAGCAGGCACTTCAGTCCGCTGAGCTACCTCACCGGCCCCTATTCTGTACATGTTAATATATCAAAGAATCTTGACAGTCACAAAACTATCAGTGTGAGTCAGAAACCTAGGAAGCCCACCTAGTTTCCCTCCACTCTAACTCATTAGAAAAACCAAAGAAAATCTCAAAGTCTCACCTTTATTCTTAATATCTTTTGGATCTGTACATTTTCTTTTTCCAGACATAATCCACTATCAGGACCATTTCTTATTCTCACAGAGTCCCTGAAGTTTGTCCGAAGAGGATGACTACCAATGCCCACTATGATCCCAGAAGGCTGCTCAGAAGGCTGAGAATAGGGGAATGCTGCTGGAGGCCAGCCTGGACAGCTTAGCGAGGCCCAGGCTCCACAGGGGGTGGAGGCTGGGGTCAGGCCTGCGGCTCAGCAGCACAATTCCCCTGTTGAACCCCAGCACCAGTAAAAAATAAATTAATTCGTCTCCCTACCTCTGACGTTGGAATTTAAAATATCCTTATTTTATCTCTTAATTTAGGCCTAAAAACAATTTCACTCTTAACAGTTATTCAAAGATTTGGTAAGTCTATTAAAATATAATGTGTGATACACAGAGACTAAATCATACAGAATTGTCCAGAACAGCCCCAAATTTAATAGCAAAGTAAGACTAAACACACATAACAGGCATGCACCACACAACATCATGGGGTATTCAAGTGTATACATTTAATAAAACTGCCAATATTTCTTATATCTTATACAAAAGTGATATCTGATCGGTTTTCCTCTCATCAGGCTAGGCTTGAATTTATGTACCTCCTACCTCAGCCTCCCAGAGCCTGAGATTATAGGCACAGACCAATGTCCAGTAGTTTTCCAGAATTCAAACTGGTGAGGCGTGTGACAGTACACATTCCTAATCTCAGCATCCCAGAGACTAAGGCAGGAGGATCACTGTGAATTCAAGGCCAGCCTCAACCACATAGCAAGAACCTGACTCAAACAAACCAAAATCGATAATTAATCAATAAATAAAAAGAAAAGACAGGTGTCAACTTTTTTTTAAAAAGTCCTAATATTAGTAGGGCAGAGTGCTGCAAAAGGTGAGAAATAGCTGTCTTTTTAAACATGATTCTTCAACTCTTCTTTTGTGCTCAAGTGTTAAAGTTCCTCCGTGACAATTCACCTACAAGTTTACAGATAGCTCAAAGGTTCAAAGTGTGGAAATGACAACAAGTGACCACCACCTCACAAGGACCGCTTCGCTGCGGGCTCTCCAGCACCCACGCCCACCACACTTACTCATCTGTCTGTCTCCATAGCTGATGGCTTCCGCCAGAGGGCTCCATCCCTGAGCATTTTTCACCTTTACTGGAGCATTGTGAGCCAGAAGTAAGTGGGCACATTCTGTAACCAGAACAGCATGGGCATCAAATACCACACAACTTTTAGTATTGCCAAAGAAAAGCATCATGCAGAAGTTTGAGACAAATTAATAATGCATACATTTGTAAAATACTGTATAAACAGATACTTAGGTTATTTTAGACCTCCAGATTTAGAAGCATTCATCCTACTACCTAAAAATAAAATGGATCTCTTTACAAAGAAATGTATTATGCTCCCTAACAACTGTCTCCAGGACCATTCTGAAAATATTTCCACACTCTAAGATAACCTACAAACCTCAAGACTAATTTACACCCAAACATCTATATAACCCATAAAATCCATAAAGAGGATCTGTGTGCTGTCGTATCAAAGGAAGCTCATTATTAAAAAAAAAAAAAAAAAAAAAAAATCAGCACTACTTCCACAAACCCTAATTTTTCAAATTTTATAATTTTTAGTTGGAGCAACACCCCAAAAGGGTAAAACTCTGCTTATAAAAGTACAATTTTCCAAAAAACAAAAATTAATTATTCTATAGGCTGAGAAATCTATTTCTTCTTTCTTTTTTTTTTTGGTGGAACTGGGGATTGAACTCAGGCCCTTGTGCTTGCCAGGGAAGTGCTTATTCTACTGAGCCACCTCCCCAGCCCCTATAGGCTGAGAAATCTCATTAAAAAGCAGAAGTCCATTAATAAAACTTAGGCAGTACAGTCACACACGCATTCATTCACACAAGCATTCATTAACCGTTTCTCAAGTGTTTACATCCTGCCATTTCTAAATCCCAAGCACCAGATATAAGCCGTGAAGCGGGAACACTAAGGTCTTACTACCAAAGGGCTTATATCCAACGTTGGAAGAAAACCAGTGAACAAAAAAATCTAGCAAGTGCTCTAAAGGAAATGCAGCTGCTGCACCAGTGTGGTGCCAGGGAGGCAGAGGAACGGCCCGACTTTGTCACTATTCCTCATGACAGAAGGAAAACCTCTACTAGCACTACAGTGTACTGGCATAAAGTGAGGCACATACCGAAATCTCACAGATGTGTTTCACAAAGTCTGTTAATACAGAACTACCTAAGAGCATGTATAGGATGTTTATTTTAGGATTGTCTTTAGTGGCAAACATACTGAAAAAGATTTTCTCATGCATAACAATAGATTAACATCTACATTACTGGAGTAATGTGGCACCTATGTTTAAGCAGCATTGCTGGTGCAGGGCAGGATGGCGCATGCCTGTAATCCTAACACCTGGGAGGCTAAGGCAGGAGGATCCTTGAGCATTAAGACTAGCCAGGGCACAAAGTGAGCTCAAGTCCAGCTCAAACAGCATAGTGAGACCCTGTCTCAAAAAGACAATAAATAAATACATAGCATTGTTTCAAAAGGCCACGGAGCCAGCTAGAATGGTCAGTCAATGTTCAAGTTTGAGAAACTGGGCGTGAGAAAGTGTAATAGCCAACTAGTTAGAACACAGAAATAACTGAAATTGAAAAATAAAAGCAGGATGAGGATATAGCCCAGAAGAATTAAGTACCTACCTGGCAGTGCAAGGTAACAAGCTCAATCCCTGGTACTGACAAAAAACAAAAAGAAAAACAGCAAGAGGCAGCTGGCCACGCTGTGTAGCCCAGCACTCTGGTAGGCGCAAGCAGAGGGAGCGCAAGTCTGAGCCCAGTCTGGCAACTGAGACCCAGTGAGACCCTGTCTCAAGAACACAAATAAAGTAAAATGGTCTGGGAAGGCTGGTCAGAGCAAAGGCCCTGGGTTCAATTCCCTACACTGGGAAGATAAAGAGGTAGATAGACAGATGGTCTACCTAAGACAGTGATGAGTTCCTTGCAGAATAATGTAATTCCAGCTTAATAAATGATAAAATTGGAAGACAAGTATACTACAGCATCCAGTATAATAACACACTGAGGCACAACTTCTAAATGAACGCTAAAGCCACTAGGTTAAAGTTATACATTGTAAAACTGGATACATACACAGTACCAAAGTGCTGCCCATTACTCAACAATACCAGAAAAATACTCCTGGGTAGTGGATATACATAGAGAGCACTAGCAAACATCCGTGTAGCAGCACTGATAACGGAACAGCCTACATTGTATGTTCCCTAGCGGCTTGCACACACAGCTCTCGGCATCACCTGTGAAGTGCTTTTTCCAGAAATGTTTAATCTCAACAAGTCCCCATTGCTACTTCTCAATTTACAGAAAAGATAAGTAACTCTTAAATGAGAAAATAATCAGACATATCCAAGCTAGAGAACATTCCAAAAGTTGACTGGATAAGTTTTGAAAAGTTCAGACATAATGAAGAAAATTGGTGCACAACCTGCTCTATGTTACAAAAGAGACATAACAACCAAATGTGACAAATAAACTTCATTTGGGTCTTTTTTTTTTTTTTTTCTTTTTGCGGAACTGGGGATTGAACTCAGGCGCTTACAGTTGCCAGAGAAGCACTTATTCCACTGAGCCATCTCCCTAGCCCCTTGGGTCATTTCTTAATATAAACCACCCAAAAGACATTTTTGGAATAACTGCAGGTATGTGAATGTGTACAGGCTACAGGGTGACATTACACTACTACTATCGGTGTTCTTCAGTGTAACAATAATGTCACTATGAAGAACGTCCTTATTTCTATATGCTGATGTATACAGGGGTGAACTATCCTATCACTGCCTTTTTTTCCCTTTTTTTCTGAGCTAGCGCCTTACTATGTGACCCAGGCTGGTCTCAGGCTCAAGGTGATTCTCCTGGAAGCCTCTCAGGTGCTGGGATGATAGGCATGCACCACCACACTCAGGTAATGTCTACAATTTTTAAATCATACAGAAAGAAACATAAAACATACAAAGATAAAAAGATAACACAGACATGATCTAGTACTACCATAACTGAGCCTATCTGAAGGGTATATGTGTCCACAGATATAATCTATCAATTTTTCTGTGTATTTAAATTTTTTACAACAAAATGTTGAATTAAAAAAGGAATAGAAATGTTTTATAAATATGAAAAAAAGTGTTCGCTTCGGTAGCACATATACTAAAACTGGAACGATAGAAAGAAGATTAGTATGGCCCCTGCCCAAGGATGACATGCGAATTTGTGAAGCAGTCCATATTTAAAAAAAAAAAAAAAAGTCAGAAAACAGGGCTGCTAAAGCACCTGCTTAGGCAGAGCGCAGCCTGCCATGCTGGCCCCACCCCCGGAAGTGCTGAGACCACATTGAGACTGGGTGTCGTGGTGCATGCCTGTAATCCCGGTGCTTGGGAGGCTGAACATAGAACCACTATGAGTCCGATCTACATAGTGAGACCCTGTACTAAACACAAAAATAATAAATAAATTTTAAAAAAAATACATTAGAACTATCCTAAGAGATTTAAAGGAATTTTCAAAGAATAACTCATAAAATCTACCACAAGCAGAAAAGCACCTCATTTCTTTAAAGTCTAAAGAATGTATCATATACATGAGCACAATGTCTTTACACAAATACATATTTGTATGTAATTAGCACAGTGCAGAACTGGAAGAACATTGAACAAGCTCTATTGAGGGTTGTCATGGTTACAGGGAACAGATGATTAGTAAAAATGGACAGCCAGGCTAAAAAGAATTAAAAAAAAAAAAAAAGGACTAAAAACACATGGACCAAAAAAAAAGGACACTCACTCCAAAAACCCTACCACTGACTTTTAGGAAAACATACACACATGTGTGTGCATCAAGAAACTAAGGAAAGGCAAGCACAGAGGAAACCACAAGTGAAAAGAAGCTATTCCAAAGTGCTGGGCTGTGATTCTGCTTGAGAACGCGGGTGAACCCCCTCGTTAAGAGGAAAGAGTAAGGCACAGCAGGTCTGTGTAGCTCCCGGTACTGATCACGCCAGAAAAAGAAACAGAAGATGCTCCTCTTTCTTTACACTGTGTTATTTCACTGTTGCAATTGCATATACTAATAACAAAAGAATCACTGACAAAATTTTAAAAATTTAAAATATTAAGCTAAATTTAAAGTATTAAAATATTAGTATTAAAAGGATCCGTAAGGGTATTGTACCCATCTAAAGCAACATCCTAGTTATATCAGGCTCATGCACTCCGCAAGGCACGCTGCCTCCTTTGACGCACCACGGAAGCTCAGAGCAGGTGCCCGCTAAGCACCCAGCTAGTTCCACTGAAGTTAAGATGAGCCACAGCACAATCGGAGCTACGCTGATTACACTGCAAGTGCTCTACTACATGAAAAATAGAAAACTGGATCAACCCAAAGTTCGTTCTCAGCAATGTTAAAAATGAATAATAAGAAAACGAGGCAGTGAGCTGGGGAGATGGCTCAGTAGAATAAGCGCTTCCCTCGCAAGTGTGAGGACCTGAGTTCAATCCCCAGTTCCATTAAAAAAAAAAAAAAAAAGTAGATGATAAGTTTAAAAAAAAAAAAAAAGAAAAGAAAATGAGACAGATTGACACACCAGAAGAAGAAATGGAGAGACCAATGGCACTAAGGCACTAAGAGTTCACCGAATGCGTAAACACTCCAGGAAGAAGTCAGGACTTGAGAACTAGGCATGGACAAACTGAAAGCACAAGCAGTAAAAATCACACACAAAGAAGCAAGTGCTGTAAAGGTGATAATATATGGAGTAAACTGTTGGGTGTGTGGTATATGCCTGCGACCCCAGCGCTTGGGAGGCTAAGGCAGAACTGTTGAGAGTTCAAGGCCAGCTTGGGCTATATAGTGAGACCCTGCCTTAAAACACACACACACAGAGTAGATGGGATAAACAGCATAAGTGGAAACACAACAGGCCATCCAAAGATCTTCATGAGACTGAGAAACTTACTAATTCTATATTTATTGCAAGGAAAAAATAAAAAAATTCACCAAAGACAAAGAATTAAAACATGGAACAACTAATGTAAAGAAACCTTCTCTTACGTTTCTAATCTAAAGAATGAGAAGTAAAGATTTATTTCTGATTATACCTCCTAAAGATTTATAATCTTCCTTATGCAAGTATGTTTCTCATTTCCATGTAAATCCATAGTTAAAAATCTCCAGATAACATACTAACTTTTGTCAGTGGGCTCAGAAGTTTAAAAAAAAATTGGAATTCTGTAAAAAAGCTGAATAAAGTTAATGAAGTCATTCAGTGGGTTAAGATGAATTACAAGGCTGGGTATGGGGGCACATCTGTAACCCCAGCACTGGAGGCTGAGGCAGGATTGTACAAACTGAGACCAACCTGGGTTACCAGTGAGTTCAAGGCCAGCCTGGACTACATAGTAAGACCCTGCCTCAACCAAGCAAAACAAATGAATGATAAAAGGGACTAAATGAGATATCTACCTCCCTCTCCCTTATCTTCAAACAAGTAATATTTAAATGCTCTAAGAAACTTCTATCATGTTTACAAACAAATATGGAAACAGAAAGTGACCTTCAACAATACAGGCACTGAAGCAATGTCTCAGCAGATCAAAGTATCATAGACTGAACACTCGTACAACATACAATTCACAGAACCACATATAAAGATCTTTTTTGTTCTGTACATTTCAATCATACCACAGTATCAAAAAAATAAAAAAATCTCATTGGGGGGGTGCAGGACTGCGAAACTGTAAATGGATAAATACAGTATCTGTGGTTCCCACTGTACACAAAAAAAGACCCCTGAAGAGTAAATGCCCAAGTGTTTCCCACATTTCCCCCTCCTTCAAGGTAACTGAAAGACATCCAAGCCCCAGCAACTGTGGGGAGCCCTGAGAACCTTGATTCAATAGCTGCCCAACATAGACCTCCACGAGACTCATCAGCACATCCAAGTTCTACTGCTTAACCTTCATTAACCTGACATTTTTCAGATTAAAAAAATCTTGACACTTTTAATTTCCTCTAATTACCTATCCACAAGTCATTAAACTTAATACTTCAGGAAACATTTTGGAATAGGCTGATACAGAACATCTGTCTAAATTATAACACCTATTATACCAGGAACGGCAGAGTGTCAGTTCACCAACAGATCCTGCTAAGTCCACACTGCCTACTTGCAGGCAGACTTTGGAAAGACATCATACCAGAGACGAGACCCAGGAAGCTGCATGAGCACTCCTCCGACACAAACCAAACAATTCCGAGCGATGCTCGGCAGGAAGGCCAAGGAGAACACTGGGTGCGCACAGACAGCACGAGCGGTCAAGCTTTTGGAGCCGCACACTCCGAGCTACAACCAAACCTGTGCTCCTTACAGTAAGGGAACTGCTTATTCTTAGGGCTGTTTTTCACCTGTAAAACAGGGAAAACAGTCCATGGCACTAAAAGTTTATTAAATTTAACTGTTTTAAGAACAAGTTAAATCAAGAAACACACATAAAGCATACCAAGAAAAGCATTTGGAATATTATAATGATCGATTTTTTTTTTTCAGTACCAGAGATTGAACTCAGGACCCTGTGCTTGTCAGAGAAGTGCTTATTCTACTGAGCCATCTCCCGGCCCTCCTAACGCTATCTTCTTGAGGGAAAACAAAAGCTTGAGTTGTTACCTGATGGCATTCCTTGGGCTCCACCTGACACACCCCTAAAAAAGAAGCTGGCTGCAGCTGACCCTCCTCTAGCTGACTCTCCTCCAGCCCTTCCTGGGGCTCCTGACCCGCCCTCCTGCCCAACTCCCACTCCAAGACAGCCCAGGCAAAGCCAACCTCAATTTATGAGCCTGCCATGACCCACAATCTATGACATGGCTTCAATGAATCAAACTTTTTGCTCAGATATTTGGAAACATAAAAACCTGAGCAAGTTTCTTAATGTTGAACATCATTAAGCCTTGGGCTCTTATAATTCCTTCATGTCAATGTCAATTTCAGCAAACACAAAGTCAATCAAAAGGAGAACTCAGACACAGTGATGTGCACCTGCAATCCCTGCACTTGGGAGGCTGAGGCAAGAGGATCACTAGGAATTCAAGGCCAGCCTGAAGTCTACAATGAGCTCAAGAGCAATAAGAACTACACAGCACGACCTTTTCTTAAAAAAAAAAAAAAAAAAAAAAGACCACTGCAGGTATATAAAGAACAGCAGACACTATGAAAGACAAATAAATAAGTAGAATGGCTAAAGCCTTGAAAAATTCTTGGTTCATTTTCTTCCTGAGGCCTAGCTGATCGAAATTTTTTGAGTTCTATAATAAGTAAACTTTTAACGATCTTCTTGGGAGGTGAATGGCCCTAGGAATTGAACCCAAGACCTTTGCACTGACCTACATCCCCAGGTCCCCACCCACCCACCCTTCTGGAGATGGACTGGCTTCGTCACTACATTGCCCAGGCTAGATTTATTCTCCTGTCTCTGCCTCCGAGTCCTGGGATTCCAGATATGAGCCACCATGCCTAGCAAATGAATGTGTCTTTACTGAGAGGTTACTCAAATGAGTCCATCACTTCGAAGAAGGAAGGGGGAACAGAAAAGCAGGACAGGGTGAAGAGGAAGACAGAAGAGAAAGAAGGGAGGCCAGAGAAGCAGCAGAGGGAGGAGGAACAGATCATGCTGCGGAAGATAAAAGAGATCCTAGTCACCAATTATATAGAACTAAAAGCAAATAAAACTCTTATTCAGATTTTATACTCTACTTAAGCATGTGAGTTTAAAAAATCAAACAACAACTACTTTTCAGTTGTTAGATAGTGTCTAATTAACACCTTGGGAGCAATACCATTAGATCAAACATTTCTGCAAACTGAAGCATTCTGCCAGACTCCTGAGACCTTTAGGAAGATGGCAGTGGTGAGCAGCAGAGACAGAGCTTCTCCAAGATTTGGTTTCCAGGCTGGGTTGTAGCTCAGGGGTACTGTGCCTGCCTAGCAAGCATAAGGACCCGAGTTTGATCCCTGGTACCAGAAAAAAAAAAAAGTTATAACTGTTACTTAGGGGGTCCTGCTGGTTAGCTCAGTTGTTTAAGAGCTCGCTTATGCAAACTCAGTCAGGCTCAGGATACTGCTGTTTGATCCCCAGACCAACCCTTAAGACAGCCTGAGCCAAAAAAAAAAAAAAAAAAATCCTTCTCAAGATTTGGTTTCCAGACACAGAAATACAGCAATGTGAGGGAGAGAAGGAGTGAA